CGCACGGCCAAGCGGCGTGCACTGGTGGCCAAGAAGTGCGGCGCCCCGATTTTCCCCTCGGTCGTCGGCGGCAACGCATGCGTCAGCCACGCTCGCTCGAGTGCCGCCGCGCCGGGCGGCCAGCAGGACCGCGCGACGACAGGCGCCGCGGCGTCGTCCAGTGCCAGTGCTGTGCAGAAGGGCAAGGATGCCCCGTGCGATAAGCACTTGCTTAAGTAGGCACGCCTCGCTCTGATGATGATGGCGACGATTCGAAGATGTGACGATGGCGACGGCGACGACGACGCCGACGCCGACGCCGACGCCGCCGACGCCGGCGCCGGCGCCGACGCCGACGCCGCCGCCGCCGCCGCCGACGACGACGCCGACGACGACGGCGACGACGACGACGACGACCTAGCTAGACGACGACAACGACGACGACGACGACGTCGACGACGACGACGACGACGACGACTACGACACGTCGACGACGACGCCGACGACGACGCCGTCTCTTGGGCCTGCCGGCGACGGAGGCCACCCATATTTTGTAGATATGCCCCGTGCCCCGACGCGCGGCGCCTCGCCCGACGCCTCGTCCAGGTCGTGCGCCGAGGCGCCGCCATTGGTGCGGGCCTTGCAGCTGCCGCATCGCCCCCTCCCACCCACCCACGCCTCCCTCGGGGTCGGGTTCGGGGCCCGCCAGGAGCCCATGTGAGTTCCAGAGTAGTAGTCATTCCAGGGAACCCGATATCCCGATATCCAGGCAGGGTGGGTGGTCGAGCTCTCCGGGCGCCTACGTGGCAGACCACCCGCAGGATGGGGATGAGGAGTCCGTCGGTCGGAGATTGTGTGAGGTGTGAGGTAGATGCAGAATCTGCATCTACCTCGCACCTCACACAATGCATCTACCTCACACCTCACACCTCTACCTCACACCTCACACCTCTACCTCACACCTCACATCGTGATGATCTGCATCATGCAGATCATCACGATGTGTGGTCTACCTCTACGCCTCTACCCCACGGCGGCGGCGACGGCGGTGGCGGCGACGACGACGACGACGGCGACGGCGACGGCCCGACTGCGGCGACGACGTGACGACGGCGACCGAGGACTCTCATCGTGCCATCTTGTGGGTGCCGACACGCGAGCACACGGTTTTACGCCCCCCCCCTCTGGGCCCCAGGCCCCGCCCCGCACGCGCTGCGAGCCGCGGCGCGAGCGTCAGCGCGGGCAGGTCCGTCGGCCCGTCGGCGCCTGTGGAGTAATTCCACGGTCGATTGCCGACCCGACCGATCTGCACCCACTGTACAGTCGAGGAGCGAGCGATCGAGCCTCGCGCAGCGTGCCATCGATCGACAGAAACAGCCGTCGCCGCCACCATCGTCGACTGTCGCCGACTGTCGCCCAGCCCGCCCAGCCCTCCTAGATCTAGATTCGGGGGTTGATAGACCTCCGATCGCGAATCGGCCGTTTTCGGCTCTCGAGAGGGCGTCGCGGCCGTCGTTTTTGCGGGTCCAGGCCCGTCGGGTTCGGTCCCAGGTCGGTTACACTAAAGAGATGTTTGCTAAATGGAGGTCTGTCCACCGCCGAAAGATTCCGCATTTCCCTCATTTCCTCCATCCCTACGTGCAAGTTTCATCACTTCCTCCCCCCTCCTCCCTCCTTCCCCCCCCCCCCCTCCCTCCTTACTCCGTCCTGCCTTCCTCCCTCGGACCGCCGCCCACCCAAAACGTTGTCGGACCGCCGTCGGAAGCTCCAGGGGTTCCGACTTCCGACGGTCTCGACCCTCAACTTTACCCCCCCCTATCCCTTCGTTCTGGACCCGTCTACGCGAAGATCGGGACAATCTCGGATCGGGATAACTCGAAATCTCTGAGGATCGGCGGGTTTGGAGGATGTATTGGGCGCCGCGGCCGCTCCAGAGCGTTGCGGAACGCTCTGAGAGCGCTCCGGAACGCTCTGGAGCGATTTATCCCGATCCTAGCCCTGTTTTACTGTTCCTCCTACAGGAGGAGTGGTCAAAGATAGTCAGAAAACAGTCCTGGGACGATTTTTGGATTATGTTTTGACTATTGGGGGGTATTTTGTGAGCATTTTGACTCTTTAGCCCGGAAATCCGCCTGTAGGGGGACAGGCCCGACCTAAGCCTACCCTCGCCGATCAACGATTCAGGCAACTCGATGGGCGGCGGGGGCAGGTTTCGGAATTCGTCGAGCACGTGGCGACATCCGAGCTCCCACCCCCCGCCTCCCTTCGATTCAGGATGAATCAGGAGGGGGAAAAACACACAGACACAATTCATCGTCGATGCCCCAGAGTATGGGAAAATATGGGAAGTGGGGGGAAGACAAAAATCAAGAAAATATGGGAAAATATTGGGAATCCTTTTATTTGTGTGTATTTATTTGTGTGTCCTGGGGCCCCTCCCATCGATTCAGGAGGAATCGATGGTTGTCGAGGGCAGGGTCCGGGCGAGGTCGCCATCTACCTGCACGCTCCGCCGGTGCCACGCCGCCGCCGTGAGGGCGCTGTGCTCGGAGGCGGCGGCGACGGGTCGAGCGGCCTCGGGTGGGCGCAACACGTCGGTCCATGGGCGCCGATGGTCCACGTCTTCGGCCAGGCTCCCCAGCGAGGGCACGTCATGCCCGCCCCTGGTCGGGGGCGGAACAGAGGGGGGTGATGACTAGGGGGGGGGGGGGGGGACATCGTGGCGTGGGCCATGGTATCTCCCCAGATTTCATATGGCGCCCCTTCTTGCTTCATCACGTCCCCGGCCCCCACGCTGGGCAGCGCACGTGCCGCCGGTCATGATTTGCACCCCCCCCTCTTGGACACCCCCCTCTCTCTGGACGCCCGAAATGGGTACGGAAAGAATGGGTACGATGCCCAACAGCAGTTCCTGCTCATTTTGAACAGGACTCGCTGTCCGCGCCGCCGCGGCCTGTGTCCATTTGAGACAGAGGGCCGCCCGCCCAACAGCGGCCGCTGTTGGTTTGGGACAACATTTGTTGTTGGGCATTGTACCCATTCTTTCCGTACCCATTTCGGGCGTCCAAACTCTTGGCCGCTCCCGACCTGGGTTCCTCGTCACCATCGCCGCCTCCGCTGTCCAGGCGACGGTAGCATGGCCCACGGCAGGCCTGCGCTGTGCCGCCCAAGGCGGCCCGCCGCCTCGGCGCGGGCGGCAGCCCCTGGTGCGGGCGCGCCCGAGGTCGAGCGTTGCCGGCGGCCTGGAGTCCGACGACGTCGAGCGACCCACCAAACCACCCCAACCCAAGCCGAAGGTCCAAATTCTTCCTCGATTTCCAGTGGGGGGGGGGGTTGGGGAACATTGAAAAAGCACATGGAACCCGCACCCCCCCAACCCAACCCGAAGGCCACAATTTGCACTCCATTTCCAGGGGGGGGGGGTCGGGGAACATTGAAAAAACAAGTGTGGAGCCCGTACCCCCCCGACAACCCGAAATTCGATCAAATTCGGGTCTTCGGGTTGGGTTGGGGTGGTCTGGTAGGCAGTCCGACGGCGTCGAGCGACCCGCGCAGTTCGGACGGTCACGATCCGTGCAGTCCGAGCAATGCCCTCGGTGCCAGGCATCGTCGAAGAAGAAACCACAGAAGCCAAGACTCTTGGCGCTCCGCGCGGATGTCTTGTGTCCGCGCTGGGTCCCCCTGGCGGCGCTTCCAGGGCCTCCCCTGGCGCGCGCTCCGTGCGCCAGGGAGGGGGGTCCGGCGCGGATTCAAGAAATCCGCGCGGAGCGCCAAAAGTTTATCGCTCCAGCGCGTTCTCGAGCGCTCACCCATCGTACCCCAGCGCTCTGGCACGGCCGCGACGCCCGCTGCACCCGTCAAGCCCATGGGCCCCTCAGAAATCCATGATTGGTCCCCATCCGAACGTATCCTCATCCTTCGGTTTTCGATCATGCACTCCGTATTCAGCTCAATCTTCCAGCTTTCGCGCGGAGAGCACGCCAAATACAGTCAAAGATGGGCGTTGCCGACAAAGACTTGCGCGTACTACCTTAGGCCGGCGAGTCACCGGAGGACCTCCGACTACCGCGGAAGGCCGATGGGCAACAAGGGGTGCGTGGTCGAACGCGCATTCCAGAGTTCATGATACATGCAAGGGTCTGACTTGAGTTGGCTAAGGGGGCCTGGCTTGACAGAAGGCTGTCCTGTAACAGCTTGCCCAGGGGGGCGGTCTAGCATTGTCCGAGGGCTGTGGCCTCTGTACGTGGGCCGCAGCAGAAGGTTCCCCCTGGGAAGCGCGCAAGGCCTCAACACGGCCCAGGACAAAACGCAAACGACTTGCGGGGCTTGCATCTCACTCGGGATTCACGGGCACCCTGCATCTTGCTGTGGGTGGATCTGTTGTTATTTCCTGGGCTCAAAGCTGAGAGTTATAGTCCATTCGGGGATCGGGACCACGCCCACACCACGCAACAGGGGTGTCCTTCTTGGCTCGTAGGGGGGCATCGAGGGAGCTCAACGCCGCCCGAGCCCTCGTCCCGCCCGGGGCTGCTGTCGCGGGGACCTCGTCTGTTATCGGTGGTGTATGCCATCGGGCGAAGCGCCAGAGTTTCGAGGAACTTGCGACACGGCGATGTCGCTCGTCCTGGTTTCGCCTGGGGCCAAGCCGACAGCGCCCTGCCGCTGGCTTGGCCCCGCCCAGACGTGTGCTCTGTTCCTCGGGCGAGGACCCTCGAGGAGCCTCCTGTGTCACCTCGCGAAACAAGAAACATACACGCGCGACACCGCAGCATGCACGGGGGGAGGACGCCCTAAAACAGGGCTAGGATCGGGATAAATCGCTCCAGAGCGTTCCGGAGCGCTCCAGAGCTTTCCGGAACGCTCTGGAGCGGCCGCGGCGCCCAATACATCCTCCAAACCTGCCGATTCTCAGAGATTTCGAGTTATCCCGATCCGATTTTGTCCCGGTCTTCGCGTCGTTTTACGCCCGAGCGATGGCCAGCCTGGGCCAAGCCGACGGCGCTCTGCCGCCCCGTGGCGAGGTCCTCTTCTACTGCCTGCTGGACCACGACACGCTCCAGGGGCACGGCGCGCTCCTGTGGACCTACGGCAACATGAAGGTCAAGGAGGACGGCCGCCGCGACCGCGCCGGCTCGCGCCTGCTTCATCTCAGGCAGCCTCCTCCCTCCTTTTCCTCCTCCTCCTCCTCCTCCTCCTCCTCCTCCTCCCTCTCCTCCTTCTTCTTCTTCTCCTCCTCCTCCTTATTATTATTCTTCTTATTATTGGTTTTCTTCTTCTTCTTCTCCTTCTCCTCCTCCTCCTCCTCCTCCTCCTCCTCCTCCTCCCTCGGCCCTGGGCGTTCGTGGTCCTCGGGCTCGATGTCTTTGTGGCGCGTTCTCGCCAGTTCTCCACGGCTCCCTGGCCTCGGGAGGACGGCCGCCGCCACCGCGTCAGCTCTCGGGCGATCGCAAACACGGATCAGGGGGCGTGGATACGCGACGGGTCCCGTTTCCGTGGGAAACCGTGGAGTTCCGCCGCCGAACGGGGCGGCGCCGGCCGCATTTTGGGGAGGGCACCTCCCCCGATCCATGGATTCGGCGACCGCGCGCCAAGTCCACGGATCGCTGGATCGCTAATCCATGTTTGCGCGCCTCCGAAGCTCGCGCCTGCTTCTCCTCAGGCAGCCTCCCCCGGCCCTGGGCTTTAGTGGTCCTCGGGTTCGTTGTTTTTTTTGTCCTGCGCGTCTTCGCGGGTTCTCCCCTGCTGTCTGGTCTCGGGAGGCTCTTTTCGGCAGCTGCGCCGCGCCGAGAGCTTCCCGAGGGTGCCCAGACAGTCCCGCGGGAGTCTCGAGCTGTGGACCAGAGACCCCTGGGGAAATGGTGGGGATGGGCTCCGCCAGGGACACATCGGCCCCCCGTCGCCCATGCATCGCCAACAGGGGCCGGACAGCCCACCCCGCCGAAGAAGAGGCGGGCTCGTTGTCCGGGGCCGATCGTCGAGCTATCGGCGATGTGTCTTCCATGTCAGTTCCCTGACTCCCCCCATGGACCAGTCCCCCTGCCGCTGTTCCTCGTGGCTGCGGCAGCAGCTGCGGCTCGTGTCGGGTCTCCTGTGGAAGCAGGCGGGGCAAGTCGGGCGGGAATGCTGAGTTCTCCTTCTTGCCTCTGGGCGCCGCGCTTTTTGCGGATATGTGCGCCGCCTTGCATTCCAGGGCGGGGCCGCTTGGAGCGCGCTGTCTCGCGATGGCGGACGATGCCCCCTCTTTTCTCGCGTGTCCCACCAGTTGACTTTTTGGACCTCGGTATTCCTGTACGGTAGGTTCGCGTCGTGTCGACCAGCGACGACCCCGCCGCGGGCGTTCAAGGTTGAACGCCGCCAGTGGCCCAGAATCGGCCTACATGGAACGATCGGGCGATCGAAAAGCCGCCGATCGTTCAAAAATTGAACGATCCATCCGGTGTCAGAAACCAAAGCTGGGGTCGTCACGACACGAACCTGCCGTACCCAGGCTATCCGTGCCCCATGCTCCTCCTGCTGCTACACATGTAGGATGGCTACTGAGGGGCCTAGCGGGGGGCGTAGCGCAACATCGCCCTTGACGATCATGAACAACGGGGTATGGGCTTGCTAGTTGACGTCGTCGTCATTGAAGTTGTATAGTCGGACCGAGGTATGAGATCGAGGTCGGTTCGGGCGGAACGCCCTCATGTTATTCGTGCTTTCTGGACGTCCTTGTGCATCCTGGGGGAGGGTGCCCTCGGAGGTTCTTCGGTTTGGCCGGCGGAAGGCCTCATGTTGTCGAAGTAGGTTTTTTCTGTCCTACGCTCGACTGTATGATCGTTTTCACTTGTTTGCCCCAAGTGCAGAACCTTGTCTTTTATCATCGTCCCCCCTGTCTTCCTTGATCGTCATCCTGCATGCCTACTTCCATCCATGAGAATGCACCCCGTTGAGTGCGACACGCATACGCAAAGGAGAAGGATGCGGGGACTTGTGGAGGAGAACTCGGGCCACTCGTCCGGCTGGCTGCAGCCGGTTCTCCCCTCGCAGGAATCACGGAGACGGTGAGTCGGCCCTCGGCCTGGGCCCACGGTGGCGCGCGTTAGCTGTAGTGACTATCGCGGGCCTCCCAGCGCGATTGCGAGGGAGACAGCAGGAGGTCGCTGCTGTCCGCAACACGGGCTAATGGGCACAAAAAGTGCCGCACATGTGACGTGACATAGCCGCTGCCGTCACCTCTGCCTGCTCCTCCGCCCTCCCCTCCTCCGTCTCCTCCACCTCCTCCCCTCTTCTCCTCTATAGGAGGCGTATTCAAAAATATGCCCAAACATATGGTGAGGACGATTTGTTTTGCATTGTTCGATCATTTCTTCGTTTTTCTTTACTGTTCACAAATTTTTGCTTCAAAATCTGCCTGTAGGGGGACATGCCCGACCTAACGCTATTGGGAGCGGCGATCGCTCCTGGTTGAAGGATCTCCGCGGTGTCAAGCCAGCGCCGAAACCGTTCTGACGCGAACATGCCGGCTGTGGAACATTGTTTCGTCTAGGTGTGTTGATACGTTTTGCGAAGGCGCGCTCTTTCCTTTCGCCCTTGGTTCGTTCACTTCCTGCTTTCCCTCGTCCTTCCCTCGTGCTTCTGAGCAGAGCTGGCCCGCTTGAGTTGCGGGCAAGCCCCCCCGTCCGAGGAGTTCATTGAGATTACGAACATTGGCTACTCACTCTGGAACCAGCACTTCGCCACCATCTCCAAGCTGATCGATTGGTTCAAGGAGGCGCTGTGCCGTGCAGCAGCGGCTGTATCTTCAGCAGTGGCCGCTTAGGCAGCAGCGTCTGTGCCAGTAGTCGCGGTGGTTATTGTGGTAGTAGTGCTAGTGATGGCAGTGGGCGCGGCAGTAGTACAGCAGTCGTGGTTGTTGTAGCTTTGGTGATGCCAAGGATATTGAACTTGTTGTAGTTGTGGCAATCGTTATGCCAGGTAGTAGCAGCAGTGTGAAAAGAAGTAGCGGCAGGAGAAGTGCAATTGTTAGTGGCGGTGGTAAAGTACTGCAAGTGGGGTTGTGTAGTGGTACAGTTGTAGTTGCAAGGTTCGTGCCGTGTGTGTGTGTGTGTGTGGAGCAGTTGCAGTGTCAGTTGCGGTTGTGAGGGATGTGTGTGCGTGTGCGTGTGCGTGTGCGTGTGTGTTTGCGTGTGTTTGTGCGTGTGTGTGTGTGTGTGTGCGTGTGTGTGTGTGTGTGTGTGCTCGTGCGCGCTAATAGGTCGTTGCAGTTGGTGAATGTCGGTCCCGGTGGTAGAAGCTGCGGTTGGCGATGTTGTTGGTGACACATGGTTGCAGACAAGGTGAAGGAATACATTGATGGACGCAGAATGCAGGGATTGTTCGAGACCTGACGCTCCGATGCCCGTTGATCCCTCTTCCTATGCCGGAAAGCTTGCTGCTGTCCCAGGCCCTCCAGGCAGCGAGTCGCATTGGCTCCACGAAAGATGTCCTCCCTCGTGATTCCTCGTTCCGTCCCCCGTGGCCTCTCCCGATTTCCTTGCCTGCCCTCCCTCGGCATTGCCGAAGACAAGAAGACGCGGTTCTGGATGCTTGTAACTTCCCTTTTCTCGACGATCGACGCCAGAGTTCCAGACCCGTGCAGCTGTTTTTCTGGGTTGGCTCCGTTTTGTTTTGTTGTGGCCGTCTTTTTTTCTCCTGTTTTGGCCCCAGCAGGTGTCGTTTTGTTCATGCTTTGGGCTGCCGCGTTTGTTCCGTGTTGGTCGACCGCAACACCAGAAGTTGCAAACGGAACAAGATCAGAGCTCCGAATCATCAGGGATAACTCGGGTCAGGGCTAACTCGGGTTCGCTTTTCAGGATTCCGAACCCGAGTTACCCCGGACCCGATTTACCCCGGATAGTTCGGGCGTCCAGGACCCCAACTCATCAGGGATGACTCGGGTCAGGGCTAACTCGGGTTCCTTCTTCGGAAATCCAAACCCGAGTTTCCCCGGACCCGAGTTACCCCGGATAAATCGGGCGCCCAACAAGACAGCGCCCCCGGCGGTGGAACGAACACTTGAGCTGCTGCTGCCCCCCCACTGTGGCGCCACCCATCTCTCCGCCCCGGCTCCCCGTGGGGGGGCGGGGCGCCGAGGGGTGGCGCGGCCGACGCGCCGACCGCCCCTCCTATCGCGGCCCTGCCCCCGCTGCTCCTGGCATGCCCTGGTTCGATGCTCGTTTCGGGGACCTTCCTGGAGCCCACCTGACGGATCTGTTCGACCCCAGTTCGACTCAAGTTCGACTCAAGTTCGGCTCAAGTTCGGCTCAGGTTCGACTCAGGTTCGACTCAGGTTCGACTCAGGGCCGACCCAACTCGACTGACGCTCGACGCAGCTTCGACGCACGAGTGGAGCGAGTGGCTCCAGGGAGGTCCCCAGAACGAGCATCCAACCTTGGGCTGCCGCCCGAAGCGGCGCCCTCGAGCACTGCGGATGCCTGCCGAGTGCCTCCGACACGATCCGGCCAGCCCGAGCCTCCTGGTCCGCTCGGAGATAGCCTGGCTCCCCGCCCCTTCCCGCAAGTCCCGCGACCACGGAGGAGGAACAGCAGGGGGTGGAGCAGGAGGAGCAGCAGGAGGCGGAGGAAGAGTGGGGGAGGAGGAGGAGGGAGTCTTAAGTTACACTGCCTCCCCTCCCTTTTCCCCCCGCTGGCTAGAGCATCGTGTAGAGGCTAGTAGAGCGGCTGAGGCGAGGTAAAATCAGGACCAGGACCGCGCAGGCCCAGTGCAGAGGGCAAAACGAGGGAGGAGGAGATTGAGGAGGAGGAGGAGGAGGAGGAGGAGGAGGAGGAGGAGGAGGCATGTTGGCGTACACTGGGGCATCCGGGGGCGCCGCTTGGGCCTCTTTGGGATTTTTTGGGGGGGCCTCTCGGGGGCGCTCTTTGTGGGTCGCTTGTGGCCTGGGTTTTTGTTTGATGTCCTGTGGCGCTCTTGCCCCGTCTGACGCCTTTGGAGGCTGCCCTGGAGGCGCTTTGGGGCCGTCTTGGACCTTGGAGGTCTGCCGGGCCGTCTTGAGGGCCCTCTTGGGGCCGTTGCCCTCTTGGGCTTGGGCTCCTCTTGAGGCTCTCTTGGGTCATGTTGGGGCCATTTTGCGGCCCCAGTGGCCCTCCTCAGGTTTTTGCACATCGATCGCCGGAACACCTGCGTTCGTTGCCAGCCGACAGATGGTTGAATGGAAATATTCAAATGGTTGATTTTCCTCCTCCTCTTCCTGCTCCCTCCCTCCTCCTCGTCTGGCTGGCCTCTCGGGGGTTTTCTTGGGAAGTTCCGTGCCTACTTGGAGCCGTATTCGAGCCGTCTTCGGGCGGCCTCGGGTTTTCTTGGAAGCATCTCTCCAGTTGTCTTGAGCCATCCTGGGTTCTCTGGTGCCACTTGGGGGGGCAAACCGAGGCCACCTCGGGGCCGTGCTGTCCAGTCCACCGTGGGGGCCTTCCTGGGCCGTCCTCGGGGCGCCTGGGGGCCCAAGGAGATCTTCCAGCGAAGTGCCAGGTCGCACCCCCCTCCCGATGGCGATGGCTTGGCGCATGCCACCAAGCATTGGGGGCGGGCCGACGGCCCCGCCGACCCCCCCGACGCGACCCCCACCGCGGGCAGGCGACAGACACATCAACCGTCGACTCCCCCGCCCCAGGTGCAGCACAACGCTGCTGTACATCAGGGGAATCTGCGATGACACCGCACGTGCAGAACATGCCATGTACGAACTCCACGGCAGCATCCGACGAGCAGGACACCTTCTCCACCGAGTCGAGGATCAGGTGCGCGGCCTCACCAGCCCCGTCGGCCGCGTCGGCACCATGAGGAAGGCGCCTCCTGCGACGACGACGTTCCCCAGCATTTTGACCCTGACGACTGTCGAGCTCGGCCTGGCTCGCCGTCGCGATGCGCGCAGCAGGCACTCCGAATTCGTCGACCGCGAGGTCGCGGCGCTGCACCACAGCAGGTTGCACGACAGCGTCTGCGTCTCCAGCGGCAAGAACGTGAACGATGAGACGAACACTCACCACCCAGCAAACCACCCCACCCCCACGCCGAACACCTCAATTTGCCATCCATTTCCAGTGGGGGGGGGTCGGGGAACATCGAAAGACCGCATATTGAGCCCATACCCCCCCCCCCTCCCACCCGAACTTCGCTTCTTCGGGTTGGGTTAGGGTGGTATGGTAGATAGTCGCACGCCCCTCCACTGGATCGCAGCCGCCCGCCCGCAGCGCACCGCCTCCGCCCGCAGCGCCTCTGCCTCGGCAACGGCTTGCGCACGGTGCTGCGGCAGCCGCCGAAGGGCTCCCTCCGCAGCGAGCGCTGCCGCGGCCCTCGCCGTGCGCCGCGCCGCAGCGGAACGTCGCACAATGCCACTTCCTGGGGCCTCATCCCCTAGGTTCGCCTTGAACATGCCCAGGGCTTTGTTTTTTTTAGCGTGTTCAGCTCGGCGTCTTAGAACTCGTTTTTTAGCTTCTAGGTCTCGGCAAAAGACGAAACACGCTAAACTCATGATGCGTTATTTTAGCGTTTGCAGACATTTGTTGTGTTTTCAGCTTAACAGCGCCACTATAACACAACAACACCGCCAAGCCAGCTGCCCTGACACCGCTAAAACACGTAGCGACTTTTAACAGCGTGTTCAGCCTGTGCCTACAGCATAAAACGCAACACACGCTCAGGGCGTTTTTAAGGCGAACCAAGCTCATCCCTTACGGTCAGCTCGCCCCTGCCTTCGTTAGTCCAACCATCCCCAGGTCGCCAGTTGCGCACAGTGGGCAAAACGGCTTGCGGGGCGCGCGGCTTGAGCCAAGGTGGTTTGAGCCACAATGGTTACGGAGGACGGTGTATGATGGTGATGATGATGATGCTGATGATGATGATGTTCATGCCGATGCTGATGCTGATCACGATGTTGTTGATGATGCTGATGATGATGCTGACGATGCTGATGCTGATGCTGATGCTGATGCTGATGCTGATGCTGATGACGCTGCTGCCGCTTATGATGGTGCTGATGACGATGACGATGATGCTGATGACGATGCTGCTGCTGCGGATGATGTTGTTGTTGCTGCTGATGATGCGTATGATGACGATGCTGACGGTGATGCTTCTGATGATGGTGAGGATGATGATGCTGATTTGGATGTTGATGATGGTGATGGTGATGGTGGTGGTGGTGAAGGTGATGTCGACGATGACGATGCGGATTATGTGGATGATGATGTGAATGTTGTTGATGAGATTGATGATGCTGACGATGATACTGGTGAGGATGCCGATGCCGATAATGATGAGGATGCTGATGCTGACGATGATGCTGGTGATTGTGGTGGTGGTTAGAAGTGTGATGATGCTGATGTTGATGCTGCTACTGATGTGGTTGCTGATGCTGAGGAGAACATTGATGCGTCTGCTGATGCTGATGATGATGCTGCTGACGATGCTGATGCCGATGCTGCTGATGATTGTGATGCTGCTGCTGATGATGATGTTGCTGTTGTTGTTGTTGTTGTTGTTGTTGCTGTTGTTGCTTCTGCTGATGATGCTGATGATGACGATGATGATGCCGATGCTGATGACGATGACGATGACGATGCTGATGATGCTGATGATGCTGATGCTGCTGATGGTGATAGTGTTGGTGGTGGCGATGATGCTGCTGTTTCTGATGCTGCTGACGAGGATGATGCTGATGCTGCTGATGCTGATTCGGATTAGGCTGATGATGATGCTGATGCTGATGCTGGTGATAGTGGTGGTGGTGATGATGGTGATGGCGATGATGCTGCTTCTGATGCTGCTGCTGATGATGATGCTGTTGATGATGGTGATGAGGAGGAGGAGGATCATGGGGATGATAAGCATGATGACGTCGACGAGGACGACGACGACGTTGAGGAGGAGGAGGATGAGAAGAAAAAGGAGGAGGAGGAGGAGGAGGAGGAGGAGGAGGAGGAGGAGGAGGGAGGAGGGAGGAGGGAGGAGGGAGGAGGGGGGTGAGAAGTAGGAGGAGGGGAGGATGAGGAGGGGGAGGAGGAGGAGGAGGAGGATCAGGAGGGGAGCGTGCAGGAGGAGGAGGAGGAGGAGGAGGAGGAGGAGGAGGAGGAGAAGCAGGAGGATGAGGAGGAGGAGGAGGAGGAGGAGGAGGAGGAGGATCAGGAGGATGAGGGGCGAGCAGGGACCTACATGTTCGCGTATTTAGCGGCCTCCGTCGGACCTTTTTGGGCGTCTTCGGGGCCTCTCGGGGGCTTCCCTCTTAGGGGCCCCTTAGTTGCTCTTGATGGCCCTCTCGCCGCGTTCTGGGGTATCTTGGAGGCCTCTGGGCCTGTTCTGCGGCGCTCCTGGCACGTCTGACTCTGGGCCGTAGTGGGGCGCTCTGGCCTCGTCCTGGGCAGCCCACTCGTGGCCGTCCTGGGGGCCTCTTCGCCGCTCTTGGGGCCGTCTTGGGGGCCCTCTCGGGCTTCTCGTCCCGCTTCTCTTGGGCCCTTCGGGGGCCATCTCGGGGTCGCAGATGGGGACCTCCTTGGGAGGCTCTGTGACAAGCGCAGGCCGTCTTGTGGCGGTCTTGGGGACTCCTGGGCGTATCTCAGCAATTAGTTTGAGCGGTCTTGGGCAATCTTGGGCGTTGGAGGCCATCTTGGAGCTATGCAAGGCTATCTTGGAATATCTCGAGGCTTTAATCGGCCCTTCTTGTCATCATTCTGGACCGCCTCGGAGGCATCTCGGAAAAGAGAGCCTCCTATCGGAAAGGGTTGCTGAGGCTACGCAAGCCCCGCTCCCAGGTGCCCCATGGATGCAACTAGAAGGGCTCGGACAGAGGACATGGTAACGCGCCGGGCCCTGGTGGACACCATAGCCAAAGCGGTGTCCTGTGCAGGGGCCGCGGGAGGAGGAGGGAGGAGGGAGGTGGAAGGAGGGAGGAAGAAAAGGAGCTGGAGGAGGAGGAGGAGGAGGAGGAGGAGGAGGAGGAGGAGGGACGAGGAGGAGGAGAGGAGGAGGAGGAGGGAGGAGAGAGGAGGAGGAGGAGGAGGGAGGGGGGAGGAGGGGGGGAGGAAGGAGGAGGAGGAGGAGGAGGAGGAGGAGGGGAGGAAGGAGACGGAGGTGGGAGTGGGAGTACTAGGAGGGAGGAAGGAGGAGGAGAAGGAGGGAGGAGGAGGAGGAGGAGGAGGAGGAGGAGGAGGAGGAGAGGAGGAGGAGGAGGAGGAGGAGGAGGAGGAGGGAGGCGGGAGGCGGAGGGCTGCTGGAGCGAGGTGGAAGGCAAGGGGGGCGTGGCGAGAGGCCGGCTACCGGGCCTCCAAGCAGCTCCGCAGCGAGTTCAAGCAGTCCTGGGCGCAGCGGATGGAGGCCCGCCGCCGCTCCGCGCGGGGGGGGCGCGGGGCGGCCCCGCGGGGCCGCCTGCGGCGGGCGGCGCGCCAGGGCGGCCCCGCGGGTCGCCGCGGGCTCAGCGGGGCTGCGCCTGGCGAGCGCGCCGCCGGCGTGCCCGCCCCCCGCCTTCCTCCCCCCCTTCCCCCGCCCCGCCCCGCCCCCCCCCGCGCGCCGCTGTCGTGTCGTCCCCCGTCGTCGCCTCTCCCTCCCTTGCCACAGGGCCCCTTTCGGCTGGTATAGCAAGTGCGCGGGAGGGAGAGGGCACCGTGTGGTTGTATACGTATATATATATATATATATGTATATAAAGCGTGCGCATCTTCAGCGTCCTCCTCCTCCCCCCTCTGCGTCAACGAGCCTCAGTCCTCTCCTCGTCTCCTCCTCCTTTTGGCTCGCCCCGAGCACACAAACATGTAGCACCAGGGATGCAAGATGGGCCTGCGGAGTGAGCGAAACGACTCAATAGACATGTGCATCTCCAGCGTCAGCGCTCGCGACGCAGCCCGCCGATCAGTTTCCCACCACTGTTCGCCCAGCTGGATGATTTTTGTTGGGGGGTTTCTCTCGGCGATGAACGGTCCCTGAGCTACGTATATAAAGTGCATGTGCGTCTTTAGCGTCGCGCCAGCGGCGCGGGCCGCCCATTTTTTTTTTTCCCCCCTGTATTGTTGGGTGGGCAGGATAATGCCGTTTTTTCTCTCAGTGAATAATGAATGCTCTCTTGGCTTCCCTGCACCACAGAGCAATTCTGAACACGTTTGTAAGAGGATTCCAATATAGATCGACATGTTTGTTTTGCCAGGGGCGTTGCTCGCCATCCCCTCCTTAATCTCGTCGTGCTTGTGGGAGGATTGCACCTTGCGCTCTTCAGCGTCGGCGCCCGCGACGCTGCCCGGCAATTACTTTTCCAGTCTTGTTCGCCTGCGCTGGATAATGTTGGGTGTTTTCTTTCTTTTGGCGAATAATGTGCCGTTGGCTACCCTGCGCGACGGAGGAATTCCGAGCACATATGTAAGAATATTTTAATCTCGATCGCATTCGTCGCCGAGGCCCCTTCTCGCAGTCAGTTGCGCACATTTGCAAGGGGATTGCAATACAGATTGCATTCGTGGCCGAGGCCGGCCGGTTCTCACAGGCAGTCGCGTGATATCTATTTCCTTGCAGGGGAGTGGCGACGCAGGCCAGTGCAACTACACTCTACATTTACAGCTTTGTCGTCGGCGTCCGCGGTGCCGACGACGAAGCTGGAACTGTACATTGTGGAGGGCCCGCGCGGGGCCTGAGCTCCAACAGCCCTTTTCAGGATGGATCTCGCATGATCAAGTTTCTGAGCGCCGAGTTTCCGCACCAAGATCTTCCACGAGAGCGCTGCTGGCGGGCGCCCTGGGCAAAGCAGACATAGTTTCCCTGAATTGGTGGTGCACGAATCCGTGGGTGAGGCCGCCGATCCAATAATGAATTGCACCCTACTGGTGGCGGGGTCTGAAGACAGCCCTGGTGACACATTCGCTGCGGTGCACACAGGCGCCGTGGTGCACGCAAGCGCTGTGGTGTACGCAGGCGCTGCTCTGCGCACGGCTGCTGCGGTGCACGCAGGCGCTACGGTGTGCACGCGCGAGGCGGTGCGCGCGAGCACTGGTGGTCACGGGCGCTCTGTGGTGCAGCTCGCCGCCCACGTGCTGCTCTGATTTGGCCTCGGTCTTTCCCTGGGCATTCCCGCCAGCACACATTCGGGTAGCACGATCGGTTTGTCAGAGTGGGTGGTCACTCGAGACGGAATAGGAGTAAAACGTACAGGCGGGAAAAACATGGACCCTCCCCCGCTCCCAGCCCCCCACGCATTTTCAGAGGCGCGGTCGGGGCCCTTAAGGTCCAACGCGCGATGTAGGTACTTCAAAGATGGTGGCGCGCCAGGCGGAGCCCTCGGGCCCGCAGGCCTTCCCTGCACGGCCCCGAGCTGGGTCGCTCGGAGCTGCGTGCGCGGCGGAGCAAAGGGACCTGAGCGGCAGTCCTCCTGCTCCTCTTCCTGCGCCTCCCCGCTCTCCTCCCTCCTTCCCTTCCTCTCCCCCTCTTCCCCCCCCCCGCCCTCCTCGTCCTCCTCCTCCTCCCTGCCCATGGTGCCGAAGTACTCTCTGCAGCCAACAGAAGCGTGGCGGTCCAACACCTTCACTTGGCCCGAGAAGTCAGAAGGGTGTGCTTCGTGGGTGACCTCCGTCCGTGGAGGCGACGCGGCGCAGCCGAGATCGTGGGAGCGTCCGTGTGCTGCGCTCGGGCTCAGAGTCTGGAGGCACTGCGGACACGCGCTGCACCGCACCCTCCCGGGCCCGGTCGGGGCCCGTGCTGCCCATGGGGACGACCTCGCCCCGCGGCCGCTGGGAGGGCCCGACGCGGCGCGGGTGGGCGACGGGCGCGCACGCCGCGGGAGAGAGAGGCTGCGGGCTCCCTAGGCGCAGAGGCAGAGGCCATGGGGCGGCGAGCGAGGCGACGAGGACGAGGCTGGGGCTCCGCCGAGGTTTCAGCGCATCAGGTTCGACTAGACGTAAGTGTGACCTTTCGCCGGAGTGGCCTTTGGTGCGGGCACCAATGGGCCCTGAGATGGCTGAAAACGAAGCGGCAGCAGCGGCTTGCGCGCCCAGGTTTGGTCTCCCCGCGGCCCCCAAACAGCCGCGCACCAAAGGTCACTCTTACCCAGGGTCACTCTTGCGTGTAGCCGACTAGTCTGCACGAACGAAGTGGGTACGGAAAGAATGGGTACAATACCCAACGGCAGTTCCTGTTCACTTTATGAACATGGCTCCGGCCTGTGTCATTCGAGGCAGATCGCCGCCTGCCCAACAGCGGCCGCTGCTGGTTTGGGACAACATTTGTTGTTGTGCATTGTACCCATTTTTTCCACACCCATGTCGGGCGTCCAAATCAAGGGAGGAGGGCGAGCACCAGAGAGGGAGGGCGCCGACTTGGTGGGCGCGGTGGTCCCGCTGCAGGCGATGGGCTCGGGGCAGGACCCACGAGGGCGAGAGCACCAGCGCGGGCTGTGCCTGTCTCACCTGGTGCCGGTGAGCTGCAACATGGCCAGGGTGGGAGTGCGGGCCAGGCAGGACTGCTACTGCGCGGTGGTGGCGAAGCGCGGCGAGGGGCACCGGTCGGGAGCGCCGAGTGTGCGCGTGGCCGCGGGGGCGTTCGACGAGCTGGTCGAGGACAGGTCCGAGGGGCCGCACAGGGAGGTGCTCAAAGGCATGCCAGCGGCTGCTCCGGGGAGGAGCGGGGGCGAAGCTCGTGAACGCCGTGTTCGGCAGCTTTTGCGTGGAGGAAGCGAAGCGTACAGCGAGGAGGGGGCCGATGAGAAGGACATGAAGGCGAAGATGAGCCTCAACATGAACCCGCTGGCGGACATGGCGGTGGTGGTCGAGTGCCTCAAGGTAGAAAGGTCGAGGGCGAGGCTCCAGCGATCGGCATCCCGAGAATGGCCATCATGAAGGCGTTCGAGGAAGCGGGCAGGATCGCCATCGACTGGCCAGCACGCAGGAACGAGCTGGCCTGGGCGGTGGAGAGGCAGCCGCACGGGCTTCATTTGCAGCAGAAGCGATCGGCCGAGAAGTTGCTCACAGCAGCGTGCAGTTGGAGAAGGTCAGGAGCATGGCAGCGGCAGGCAGTATCCATGCGCAGCGTCTGCGAGCAATCGCAGAGCAGGTGAGAGTGCAGCGTTCGTGGAGGGGTGCGCCCTGCAGTGAGGCAGGCTCCCCCCCACCCATCGGCATGACGAGAGAGTTCCTCCGTGCCGACGCGGCACCGCCGCGAGGCCTTGTGTCTCCGTCCGGCGTCAGCCGCAGACCCCCTCCGACGGCAGCAGACGTCATCCAATGGGGCCAGTCAATATCGACCGCAGAGGACAAGCATGCGACGCTGATGTGAAGCACGCTGGCCAGCGGGGGCGAGGGAGACAATGCTCCCCAAGCGCATATCGTATCACATCATACCATACCAATGTATATAATATCGTATACTATCATTCTATACCACCGCCTAACATAGCTTACATATCATTCCATATTCTACCAGATCACATCAGATCATATCATATCAGCCCATTGCAGTTCAAGTCATACGCACCACGCTATACTATACAATATACTTTTCCCGCTCACATCATTATACACGATATCATGCCTGATCCTATAATACCATGGTCCTAGCCCATCATATCGTAATGTAGGATTTCATACCGTACAAGACCGTGCCATATCACACTACGACGTACAAGCCATGCCATACCATATCATAACGCATCACGCCGTATCATATCATATAATATAATCTCACATCATATCATACCATATCATATCATATCATATCATATCAGATCACATCATATCATATCATATCATATCATATCATATCACATATCATACTGCGATATACATTGTGGCATGCCATGTATTCTCATACCTTGCCAGACAACATCATACCATACACTATCCAATCATATAACATCGTGTCGTCTGTGTTTTAACCTTAACTGTTTAATGCATGGTGTATCAGGTCACGCCACTTCCTATCTTATCGAGCCGTACCATTTCATAGTATAGCATATCACACCACACCATACTTTACAACATCATATCTCACCACATTCCACCATATCCTATCATATTGTTTTCGAGCCAACTCATATCATACCATTGCATACTATATCATAGTTTCCTCGTGCTCCTTTTTCCCCATCCTCCCCCCGTGGCCACCGCAATTTCCGCTCTTCCCCCCCCCTCACGGGGCGGCGGGGCCCGTGCCCCCCCCCCCCCCGCGCGCCCCCCGAGGCCGCGAAGGCCAGGCGCGGGGTGGACGTGACGGAGGGCCAGAAGAAGAGGTTCGAGGCCGCGCTGGCCCACGGGGTCGGCGGCGCGCATCGCGGGCCGTATGTCGACGTCGTCGTCGTCGTCGCCGACGTCGCCGACGTCCTCGTGGTGGTGGTGATGGAGTGGGTGGTCGTCGTCGTGCAGCACGGGAGCAGGGAGCGGCGACACCGCCACCGCCCCCTGGTGGTGTGGTCCCCCCCCCCGTCCGGCTCGAGGCACCTCCCATCGCTGGAAGCCGTTCGATAGGGCATAGGGAGGGCTCGGGGATGCACATCCCGTCGCTGGAATCCCATCGCTGGGAAGGACCCGCTCGCTGGAATCCGGGAGGCATCGTGGATCCCTTCGCTGGAGGAGGGCTCCCTCGTGGTGGCGTCGCCGCGGCGTCGGCCGCTCGTGTCGGCCTGACGGGCCCCCTTCGGCCGAGCGCCAGGGAGCAGCCCTCAGGTCTTGTGGTTGACGGCCCGCGTGGCTCGGCAGGGGCCTGAGCAGTGCGAGACCGACCCAAACCAGCCGTCGGGACGTTTCTCCTGACGCGAGCGGGCTGTCACGGCCGGTTCACGCGGCGATGGCGCGTCGGCTGCGCCGGCGAAGCGTTCCGTTCTCCAGGTGGAATTCTGCACGATCGCGGGACGCAGAGGCACCGAGGGACACAGTCACGGTACAGGATCCGACGGGATCAACCTTGAGAACGATCGGGGCCGCGCCGACGCCGCACGAACCTGCCGGATCGGACGCGAGTCCAGGGGGCGATGCGGGGGAGCCGACGTACTCAGAAGGCCTGGAAGTCATCCGGCCTTTCCCTTCTCCTCCACCTCCCCCTTCTCCTCCTCCTCCTCCTCCTCCTCCTCTTCCTCCTCCTCCTCCTTCTCCTCCTCCTCCTCCTCCTCCTCCTCCTCCTCCTCCTCCTCCCCCTTCCTCCTCCCTCCTCTCCTCCTCCACCTCCTCCTCCTCCTCCTCCTCTCCCTCCTCCTCCTCCCCTCCTCCCTCGTCCCCATGCTCCCTCTCCTCCTCCTCCTCCCCCCCTCCTTCTGCTCCTCCTCCTCGTCGTTGTCCTTTTCTCTTCCTCCTCCTCCTCCTCCTCCTCCTCCTCCTCCTCCTCCTCCTCCTCCTCCTCCTCCATCTCCTCCTCGTCCTCCTCCTCCTCCTCCTTCTCAACGTCCTCCTCCTCCCCCTCGTCCTCCTCCGCCTCCTCCTCCTCGTCTTCCTCCTGGGCTTCCGCCGCGTATCATTAATACGGAGGAGGGGGATGAGGAGGAGGAGGAGGTGGAGGGTGAGGAGACGGGAGAGGAGGCGGGGGAAGAGGAGGGGGGCGAAGGAGGAGGCCGACGACGAGGACGATGACGAGGACGAACAGGACGAGGAGAACGAGGAGGAGGGGGGGAGGAGGAGGACCACGAGGGGCGGCGGTGTAAAGGGGGGCTTGAGAGACGGTTCCTAAAGGTGCCCGTCAGGGCCCCCTTGGGAGCCAACATGGGGCCAAAAGGGGGGCCCCAAAGGGCCCCAAAACGGAGCCTCGAAAAAGGCCCTCCTCAAGACTTCTCCCGGGCCGCGTCCGGCCTGCTCAGATCTGGCGGGTGGCAGTGGGCGGTGACCTACTCCGGATGGCACAATATTATCACGGGGGGTGACTAAGAGATCATTTCTTTATTGCTTGGGGCATGACTGGCGTCATGGCCCCCGCCTCCCCCCTCCCCCCCTATGACGTAACGCTCCCCCCCCCAGTGCGCTCCGGGCGCTGCCGCCGTGCGTATTGGGATCGGCGTAGGTGTCCGCGTAGGAATCCGCAGAGGAGTCTGGTCCGCTGTCGTCGTCGTCGTCGTCGTCGTCGTCGTCGTCGTCGTCGACGTCTTTGTCGTCGTCGTGGCTCGTGGCTCGTCGGTCGTCGCTCATCGTCGTCGTGCGCGCGGACGCGGCTGGAGCTTTAAAAAAAAAAATTGGGGCCGATGACGGCAATCATCTGGGGGGGTGGAGGGTGTCGATGACGTCACGCTTCGCGCCCGCGGCGACTGGGAATGCCTAGGAGACGGAGGACGGGTGGCACCAGCAAGTAGGTGGCGATCTGCGCCACAACGCCTGTGTATATCTCAGTGCCTGCGTGCACCACAGCGCCTGTGTACACCACACCGCCTATGTACACCACAGCAGCCGCGTGCAACACATCGTCAGTTTGTGCCACCGTTCGCGGGCACAACAGTTCTTGTGTACACCACAGCGCCTGCGTACACCACATCCGCCGTGTGCAATACAGCAGTTTACACCACACTGCCTGCGGGCATTGCAGTGCCTGTGTACACCACGGCGCTTGTGTGCACCACAGCAACCGTGTGCAACACAACACCTTTGTTGTATGTAGACTGTTAGAAGGAAGTCATTATGATAAAATGGAGCGACATCATGATGACAAAATGGAGCGTGGAGGACAATCCTTATGGACAAGGGAGCGCCAGGGGAATCTACGAATCCTTCCGAGTTCGCCCGCATCACCGTAACTCCTCACATCTGCGTCCAGGAGGCTCCAGCTGAATTGGCCGTCCGAAAACCAAGTGGGCCGATTGAATGGACCATTCTGCGGTGCACGCTGAGTTGCGCACGTGCGCTGTAGCGCCAACCTGCACGACAGGGGGTAAGGAGGAAGAGGAGGAGGAGGAGGAGGAGGAGGAGGAAGAGGAGGAGGGGGAGGAGAAGTTGGAAGAGAAAAAGGAGGAAGACGAGGAGGAGGAGGAGGGGGAGGAGGAGGAGGTGGAAATGCAGGAGAAGGGAAGGGGGAAAAACATCGCATTGTATCATCAGCACTTTCCTGCCGTGGCGCTTCCGCAGCAGATCCTCACGTACAGGCTCCTTCTACTTGTCCTATGCACGCAGGCATTGTGGTATACAATAGCGCTGCGTTGCACGCGGATGCTGTGGTGTAGACAAGCGCTGTGGCGTGCACAGGCGCCACGCTGCACGCAAGCACTGTGGTGTACACAGGCGCTGTGTTGCACATGGTCACCTCCGGTGTGCACATGTACACTGCCGCTGTAGTTTACGCAAGCACTGCAGTGTACACAGGCGCTGCGTTGCACACGGTTGTTGCGATGTACGCAGGCGCTGTGTACACGCGCGCTGTGGTGCACGCGAGCGTTGCAGTGTACACAGGCGCAGGGGGACAGACCGCCACCTACATGCTGCTCGCATCGTCGTCGTCGTTGTCGTCGTCGTCGTCGTCGTCGCTTGTCGCTCGTCGCATCGTGCGCGCGGGCGCGGCTGTGGTGCCGGAGCCACACGGCGGTGGGGGGGCGTTACGTCATACCCCCGCCCCGCCCCCCCCCCATGACGCCCGTCATCGCCGAACATAAAGAAACGCTCTCTAACTTCCCGACGGAGCGTCCCCATCCCTTCCCCTCACCGCCCCTCCAAGCGCGTCCAAATTCTCCCCTCTTTGCCCAGGAATGTGCGTTTCAAAGCCGCCATCCCCCCCGAAGCAACCCCCGACGGCACCCGCCCGTTCCACCTCCTCGATCCTCAAGAGGGCGATCATTATGCCATGTGGGGTCGATTTGGGGGTGAAGAGCTGGTTCCCAAAGGGGACCTTTGGGGCCTCTTTTGTCGGGCGAAGAGAACTATACACATGCACCGATCCTGGCAAGGCCCGTCCTTGAAGGTACCGGGCGTACGCACCGATCCTGGGCTCAGGATGGGCCTGGTCAGAATTGGTGTATGTGCATAGTTCTCTTTCCTCTATTTTGGAGCTAACAGGGGCCCAAGGGACCCCCAGAAGGGCCGTCGAACATGGCGTTATCCTTAAGACTTCTCCCGGACCGCGTCCGGCCTGCTCAGATCGGGCGGGTGGTGACGGGCTGTGACCTACTCCGGATGGCAGAATCAGCGGAGGGGTGGCGACTCCCCCGCCCCACCGCTCCTCCACGCGCGTCCCCATCTGGCCCAGGAGCGTCCACTTCGAAGCTGCCATCTGGCCCAGGAGCGTCCACTTCGAAGCTGCCATCCCCCCAATTCCCCCCTCCTGCGGCACGCGCCCATCCCCCCCCTCGAACCCTGGGGGGAGGTGATTATTATGCCATCCGGAGTCGACGGGGGGTGAAGGAAGGGTTCTTAAAAGGGGCCCGTCAGGGACCCTGTTTGGAGCCAGCAAATAATAGTTAGCAGCCGCGTGCGCACGCACATTTGCAAAGGAAGGCAAATCAGCGCGTCCGGCTGTACTGCCGCGCTGCGCCTCAAATGGATTCCAAAAGGGGGCCCCAAATGGATTCCAAAAGGGGCCCCAAAAGTAGCAGCAGGTGCCGTCCTCAAGATTTCTCCCGGACCGCGTCCGGCCTGCTCAGATCGGACGGGTGGTAATGGGCGGTGACTTATTCCAGATGGCACAATCGTCGGAGAGACCCGTCAGGGACTTGTTTTGGAGCCAGCAGAGGGGCCCCTCAAAGGGGCCGCAGAGGGCTTCTTTGGGGCCTTTTCCTCACCTCCATTTAGGCCCCCCCCATTCAAGACCCGCACGATCAGGATCTCGAGGCCTCCAGCCGCCAAAGACCAGGACAAAGACCGACCAGGACATGAGCAAGTTTGGGAAACGACATCCTTTCCTGCAAGGCCAGACTTGGTCGGCCAGTGCGGTGATTTGTTGCACTGCAGGATTCGTGTCTCTGTCCAGGTCTGGTGGGAGTTTTGTAGGCTTTCAGCGCACATGCCCATGCTTACTGTGGGAGTGGTACATTGCATTTTTTTGCCGTGCCGCCGTCCGAGAGAAAATGATTTCGCGGGATGTTGGATGTCCTGGTCGAGCGTGCCCAGGTTTACGCGGCCATGAAGGCTGTTCCAGCCGCGACGCAGATGATGCTCCAGGAGGGCCATCCGGGCACACTAGGGAACCACAGCCGCATCTACGTGGAATTTTAGGGAGGGCACCCTCGGGGGAGAACCCACCGACCTCGGAGCGAGCACTCTTGTTATGGTTGTGGTCAGTTTGGCCGTCCTGGGGCAGCTGGTTTCGATGTTCCGACAGTTTTTGGCATTCGGTAGATATCCTTCAGGGTGCGTTTTCGATGTGGTTGTGGTAGCTTGCTGTCTCCACAGGGCAATCACACCAGATTCGACCTCGATCCTGCCGCGCCGTACGAACAGGTGGTACGGGTAGAGGGTGGTGCGAGAGCTGCTGCATGCAGATGGTGGCAGCCCCGCCGCCGGGCCTTGTTCCTTGACAACTATATACACGCCGGTCGTTGAAAGTAGGAATTTTTGGATTCCCAGATCCCAAATCTTTTTCTAGCGCCTTCCTACTTCAAGAATCGACATGCTTTTGCTGTGTTTTGTTATTCTCTGGGAGGACCTGGACCCAATCCACTTCATCCGCCTTCCTACTTCATGTTTATACCTACTTCTTCCGACCGACGTGTACTGGCCCCTCTGGCGCCAGGAGGCGCTGGAGAAACCAGCTACGTGAGCGGATCCGCTAACCTTCCTTCACGATCCCTTCATTTCGCCCGCCATTGTTTTAGCTTTTGGATTTTTGCTCCGACTGCCCTTGATTTTTTGCGTTAAGGGACTCGCGCTGGTGCCCGCAACGGCTGCGGCAAAGTTTATACCCCTACGGTGCCACGTGGGGGTGCACACTTTCCAGCCGCCCAGGGGGCACGCGTCCCCGACGGCGGAGAAGCTTGCCTTGCACCCGTCCGCCGGAAGATGCTCTCGACAGACGACGACGGCCCTGAGATCCGACGTGGCAAGCAAACGTGCAAGATATCGTGAAGCTCCGCGCCCGGAGCCCCGGGGCCCCAGCTTTCGGCGCCATTTTCCGAGCTGGGTCGGCATGTGAGGGCCCCGGGGCCCGACAAGAGGCGGAAACTCAGGAGGGAAAGAAGCACACAGACACAATGAATCGTCGATCCCCCGAAAAAAGATGGGAAAATATGAAGTGGGGGGGGAAGACAAAAAAGCCCCAAAGATAGTAGAACATATGGGGAATCTTTTTTATTTGTGTGCATTTAGTTGCGTGTCCTGGGGCCCCTTCAAAAACGCCCGGCCCGCAGAAAGTCGGGCCGGGCGAAAGGGGGGGATTGGGAAATGGGGGGTTACGAAATTTGCTGCATGCAGCTGATTTCGGCCTCACCGAGGGGCCCATTCCTCGATAAATGGGCCCCTCCCGGCGCCGGGAGGCGCCGGGAAAATCAGCTACGTGAGCTGATTCTCAAACCCCCCCTTTGCTATCCCCCCCTTTCGCCCGACCCGAGAAAGGGAGTCGCCAGAGGATCTCCGGGGGGTGCCCGCCCCGAGGGCTTCAACTCCACGGCCACCACCACCTCCGGGCTGCAGACGCCGGGCGGCCCCGGCAACCCGATGACCGCCGGGGGCTTCACGGGGCCCGCGGGGCCGAAGGGGCCGCCTCTCTCCACGATCGGGGGCGGAAAAGAGGGGGGTGATGACTGGGGGGGGTGGATATCATGGCGGGGACCATGATATCATGGCGGGGAGCGCGTTCCACTGCTTGCAAAGTGCCCACTCCAGATTTCGTAATAAAAGGGCGGGGGTCTGGACCCTCCAAGACAAGCCATTTCAGACCTCCCCCGTGGGAGAACCCTCCAAAACATCGTCCCCAGACCCCCCCAGGCCCTCCAAGGTAGCTTGGAAAAGACCCCCCCCGAAATGAGACCCCCCTCCCTTTATTACGAAATCTGGAGTACTCGCGAACGTCTGAAAAATATATCGGAGGTGGACAGACCTAATTGCCCGGACACGTCGATTGAGGAATCGGCCGTTTTCGGTTCGCGAGAGGGCGTCGCGGCCGTCATTTTTGCGGGTCCAGGTCCGTCGGTTTCGGTCCCAGGCCGTTTTCCTCAAGGGGAGATTTACTAAAGGGAGGTTTGTCCACCGCCGAATATATGTCGGCTGGGATGTGATTTATCGCAGAATCCCCGCGTCGTATCCAGGCCATTTGCGAGTAGTTACCTTGCGAGTAGTGGAACGCGTTCGTCTACTCTCGTGGCGGTCGGAGCGGATGCGACAGGAAGGGGGGCGACCAGCAGCAGCAGCCCCTGCTCTTGAAGGGAGCCAGGCCTCCCGGACGGGGTCGGAGTGACTAAGAGGGGTCGGCCGGTGCACCGCCGGTGTGGCTCGATGTGGAGCCCGATTCCCTCGACGCCGACGTCGGCGATGCATCGGCGATGCCTCGCCGATGCATCGCCGATGCGGCGGGATCCTCCGACCCCATCTGCTCGGACCCCGGCTGGGAGGCCTCTGTATTTTCCATTTTCGAGCTCGTTTGGGTCCTCCACGGGCCCGGATGGACTGTCAGAAAACGCTTCCGGAGGAAGGACTGGTCCCGGGCAGAAGCCTCGGGGTCCAGGACCCGTTCCCCGCAGGACCCATTCGTTTCATGCCTTGAGCAGGACTCGCTGTCGCCGCCCCCACGGATGTTGTCAATTTGAAGCAGGAGGCCAGTTACCCAGCAACGGCCTTTGAATCGGGGGCGGACAGAAGCCCCAACAGTGACACGTCGATTAGTGAATTGTCCGTTTTCGGTTAGAGGGCGCCGCGGCCGCTATTTTCCAGGTTGCGCCCGCCAGGTTTGGGCCTCAGGTCGTTGTCACTAAACCACGTTTTACTAAACGGCGGTCTGTCCATCCCCGATTGAAGGTTTTGGACAACATCTGATGCTGGGCATCGTGCCCAGGATCTCTTCCCCAATGTCGGGTGTCCACAGCCTCTCGGGATTGCGTCGTGCCGGGCACGGCAGGACTGCGTCGTGCCGACGCGGCGGCGACCCCCGCGCGGACGTTCGAGGCAGGGCGCCGCCAGTGGCCCCGAGCCGCTCGACATCGAGCGGCTTGGGGAATTTGGGAAGCCGCGATCGTGCAACGCTGATCAGTATCGCTTCACCGACCCCCATCCCCATCCTCATCCCCTTCGAGACCCCCACCCAACTGTTACCCCAGTCGTGGATACCCCCCTCGAAACCCGAAGGGGACGGCCTAGGTCCCCATCTAGGGGGCACATCGGCCCGTGGGGCCCAGGCCACGCCGCCGGGGATGGGGGTCTGCTAAGCGATGCTCAGTGGAGCGATCCACGCGGTGTCAGGCGCCAACGCGCGGGTCGTCACGACGTGAACAGGGCCTCCCAGGTGGGGCCGTCAGCCTCCTCCGGGTCGGCCAAGACGGGCACGGCAGGCGTCGAGCATTGGCGAGGCGTCTTGGCTTGCCTATAGGCGTACGTCGGGCCTGTCCCTGTACAATGGGAATGTTCAAAAAATATACTCAGAACATAGTCTGGGGACGATTTTTTGACCAAGTTTTCGTATTTCGGGGGTATTTTGTAGATTTGTCGTTCCAAATCCGCCTTCGGGGGGACAGGCCCGACTTGACTATAGGCCCGCCAAACAGTGTCCTGAGACACGTGTGTGATTTGCGCGAAAGGCTATTGGAACATTCATGGCTGAGGCCGTCTTGTTTTCCTTTATCGGCTTCCTGTGTCAAGAACTTCGTTCTGTGAGTGGAGCACTATTGCGTTCTAAGTGCCATTCTCAATTCCCGTGGTAGGTTTGGGTCGTGTCGATGCGGCGGAGACCCGACACGGGCACGTTCAAGGTTGAACGCCGCTAGTGGCCCAGAATCGGCCAACATGGAGAGGGCGGGCGATCCAAAGGCCGCCAGCGCCAGGGTCGTCGCGGTGCGAACCTGCCCTAGTTACGGGAAGACAAGGGACTGAGATCGACAGACGACTAAGACGACGACGACGATGACGACGACGACGCTGACGACGACGACGACGCTGACGACGACGACGACGCTGACGACGACGACAACGACGACGGCGCTGACGACGACGACGACGACGAGGGAAAAAACATTGGCAGAAACATCAACTCTCGGAGGTCCGCGCGAGGAGTTTTTGGAACGGCGCTGGATCCCCTTGCTTGCGCCCCTGGCGCGCTCCGCGCACCAGGGGGGGTGTCCAGCGACGATGGAAAGTTCATCGCGGACTTCCGACAGCTCATGCTTACGTCACTATATGAGTATCTGTTCCCCGAGTTCTTGCCCATTTTGACAGGGCTCGTTGTCGGCGTCGCCGCGGACGTTGTCCATTTGAGGCAAAAAGCAGAGGCTGCTGTCTGTTTTGGACAACATCTGCTGCTGGGCATCGTGTCCATTTTTGCCGTAATCATCCTGGGCGTTCAAAACAGAGACCCAAGTCTCCAACGATGCGAAATCTATCAGTCGGGGTGCTTCTCACAGATTTCAGCCTGTGGGGCCGCTTTCTGGCCTCAGGAGCATCAAACATGAGCACGGAGCGACGAATTCGCCTCAGGAAAGTGGTCGGGACATCTCGGGGTCACGCACCGCCTTTGTGTCGTCGGAAGCCCCCGGGGCCCCACCACCGAGAACCCTTTTGGATGCAGCCACCCTCCCTGGGGCCGTGACCCGCCCGAGCGCCGCCCGGTGCCGGACGACTCCCGGGCGCGTGCCACCGCCCAGGGATGGTCCCGCCGACGGGCTGTGGTCGGACGGGGCCCAGGCGAGGACAGAGCCGTGCAGAGCCCTCCGGTTCGGAGGTGGGCAGACCTCCGACCCTGACACGTCGATTCAGGAATTGGCCGTTTTCGGCTCGCGAGAGGGCGTCGCGGCCGGCATTTTTGCGGGTCCAGGTCCGTCGGTTTCGGTCCCAGGCCGTTTTCCCTAAGGGGAGGTTTACTAAAGGGAGGTTTGTCCACCGCCGACCGGTGCGCTCTCAGAGCGGTGCGGATCGCTCCGAGAAGGCCGCGGCGCCCGAGGCGCCCTCCAGATCCGCCCGATCTCTGGGGTTCTCGTTTCGCAGCCTCACGACTGGCTTCTTCTTATTTCCCACAGGGCTGGAGCCCGATCTCGGGGAGGGGTCCACTCCTCCAGGATGCTCTCGGACGTCTGGCCGGGGAGGGGCGCATCGCGTCCCGATCGCGCGCGCATCGCCAATCAGGGCCTGGGTGCCCTCAGCGAGTCCGCCAGCTTGCGGTTGAGCCATCGGGAAGCTATCGCCTGTCGGCGGTGTACCGCCGATTCCACAAGCCATCGTTCCCCTCCCCGAGCCAGTCCCCCGGGGTCCCCAACTGCCATCGTCGTCTCCCCGATCGTCGCCGTTGTCGTCGTTGTCGTCCCCCCGCTGTCGTCGTGGGGAGAATCGAGGCTCGAGGTCGTCAGATGTTTTTTGCCCGAGGGGCCTTCGTCGGGGCCGCGGTGCTATGGGGCTGCCGTCGTCGTCGAGACTCGAACCACTCGGCAGCTGATGGCCCGCTTCGGACACGGTTTTTTTCAGAGTTCCAGTGGTGCCCGGCCGCCAGGACTCTGCCGGGGGGCGCGGCGATGCACCCGACCTGTACCACGCCCCTCTCGCTAAAGTGCCAGTCTGTACGCGCTCGCCCCGCCCAGGACATCCACACTATGCAGACGGTTGGGCGCTTCGTAATGGGGGGATCGTAAATGGTGTGGTCCGAAAAGGTACCCAAATGGTACCTAAACGAGCCCCCTGGGGCTCTGGAGGGGCCCGAAAGGGGCATGAAAGGGGACCTTTTTTGACCCCCCCATTTGTGACCCCCCCATTAAGCCACGCCCAAGACGCGTACTCTCTGCAGGCCACGAAGGGTACTTCCTTGCGTGGTGGCCTCGCCTCCGACTTCGTGCGCAGAGCGGAGCGCTCGCAGAGGGGTGCTGAGCTGCTGGGGGCGGGGTGCGCGGACAGAGCGGCGCCGCACGCACCCGACGCGCACTCGGTCTGCGCGCGGCCCGTCCTCGCGAGGCGCCGTCTGTCCGCCCTCTCTCCGCCGACGACGACGCCCAGTCCCCTTGGGCCGCGCCCTGCCCTATCTTCCAAGGCCTGTGGGTCCCAGCGACACCCACGCTGTGCCAAGGAGCCACGACCTCGCAACCTCGGCGGGGCCCCCGATGCTTCCTCCTGCCATTCTGGACGCGGCTCTATGCCTCGAGTGGCACCCTGTGACTTTGCCACGACTGGCGCCCCCGATGGTATGCCGCGAAGTTGTGCTCGTCCACCTCTTTGTAATCACGCGTCCAATGCAATTTTGATTTCGGTCGCTAGTCTTCCTTCGCAGCTAAGCCGCCCTCTGGTAAGTGACCGTTGGATGTGCTCGGCGGAGGTGGAGCAGCAGCAGTGTCCTGTGGGCGAGGATGCTGATTTCGACTGTGATGATGATGCTGATGCTGATGATGATGATGATGCTGATGCTGATGCTGATGCTGATGCTGATGATGATACTGATGATGCTGATGGTGATGATGATGCTGATGATGCTGATGATGATGCTGATGATGCTGATGATGCTGATGATGCTGATGATGATGCTATTGCTGCTGATGATGATGCTGCTGCTGATGATGATGAGGGTGATGATGATGGTGATGATGATGATGGTGGTGGTGGTGATGATGGTGGTGATGATGATGATGATCTGATGATGATGATGATGATGATGATGATGATGATGGTGATGCTGATGGTGGTGGTGATGATGATAATGCTTGGTAGTTGATGATTGAGGATGGTTGGTGATCGACGACTGTGCTGATGCTAGTGCTCATGAATCTGATGATGCTTATGCTGAATGGTAATGTTGATGGCGACGACGCCGACGATGAGGATGATGCTTCTGATAATGATGATGCTGGTGTTGATGATGATGACGATGACGACGCTGATGATGATGAGGACCAGGAGGAGGAGGAGGGGGAGGAGGAGGAGGAGGAGGAGGAGGAGGAGGAGGAGGCTGTGGCTGCCTGGGTGGGAGGGGTCTTCAATGCGTTCCAGAGCGCGCCCGGGCCTTTGGAGTTGGGGCTTGAGGTCTCAGCTCGCGACCGCCTCCAGTCTCAGTGTCCATTCCCTTGCGCGGTGGGGTGTGGGCGTGGGTGCACAGGCTCTGTGCATAATTCCAGACCTTCGCCATGTTCAGTGTGAAGGGAGTGGCCGTTTGGCCTGTGGTGTCCTACAGAGTCCCGTCGAGAGGGTGGAACACCCCACCACCTGGGGGCGGGTGTGGGGGGGCCATGTGGTGGTCGGCGGCAGGATCCCGCCAGGATCCCGCCGTGCGTGGTGGGGTGCGGCCGTGGTTGCGCGAGGCGTGCCGGGCGGTCCCGCGCGTACTGCCCTGCACAGTCGAGCTGGACTAGTAGGTCGACCCTCCCAACTCGAGAGTGACCTCGTGTCCTGTGCGTGGCGTCTCTTGCCTGCTGCACGCCAGAGGCAAGGGCACCCTGGGTGAGAGGCCAGGTTGCTCTCGAACGGTCGGCGGCAGGCCCCGGGGGACGTGAGAAAGAACAGGCCTTCTCAGAAGGATGGCGGGGCTTCGCAGACGCCCTCGCGCCTTCTGAGAAGCTTTCTGTGTCTTCGGGGAAGGCTTGGACGACTTCTCAGGGCCTTCCGAGCCTTCTGAGAAGGCCCGCCCCCTCTCATTTTCACCCCGGGGCGCGCCGTCGAAAAGAGTATCGTGTTCTCTTGCGTGTCCTTTGTCTAAGCCCCTGCAAAATATTAAACTCCTAAACTCTCCAGGCTCGCCTTCCGCGTACCCCCTCTTTCCTATTAAGAATCGATGTCATACACGTGCGGCCGGAATCCCTTGCAAAGAAGCACATCGGCTCCTGCAGGTCATGCGAAATCTAACAGAAGATCCAGTTCCGTGCACGCCTGCGCGCGTTGATGCCCCGGGCGCTCCCATGCGCTCCCCAGGCCTTCCCAAGCGCACCTACGCTTCCCATGCGCTCCCTGGCGCCACAGGCGACACAGGAGCTCCGCAGGCGTCCCCTCAGCTCTCCCGAGCTCCTGGGGGGGGTGCCCAAGACTCCCGCGCGCTCCCAGGCGCATCCCAGAGTCGCGAGCGCCGCCAGGCGCCTCGAGGCGTCCTGAGGCGCTCCCCAGGCGCTCCCCGGGCGCTCCCAGGCACGGCCACGAGCCTTCCTCACGCGCTCGCAGACGTCCCCAGGAGCTTCCGGAGCTCCCCTGCGCCCCGAGGCGCTTCCCGGGCGCTCCCCGGCGCTCCGCGGCGCGCCCAGGCGCCCTTCAAGCGCTGCCCCGCGCTCCCCCGGCGCTTCCCCGGGCGCTCCCGAGGGCTCCCCGGCGCTCGCACGCGCTTCCTGGGCGCTGCCCAGGCGCTCCGCGGCGCTCCCAGGCGCTACCAGGCGTTCGCGGGCGCTTCTCGGGAACTCCTCTTACTTCTAAGTGCTCCTGGGCACTCTGCAGGCGCCTGGGGGTGCTCGCAGGCGCTCCCCAGCTCTTGGGGCACGTTCCGATCTTGGCGGCCGACAAGGGCGAGCGACGTGGGCAAAAGGTGCGGGCAATATTTATATCCATATCCAGGGCGTCTTGGACTTTCGTGGAAGTGGCTCCGCAAGGCCGAGGCGCATTGGATATGGGTAAAATTCGAGCCTCTAGTAGGGGCCTGATGTTTATCCATATCCAGTGCTCCTCGGCTTTCTGGGGAAGGGAGCCCCAAACCCAAAGCTGCAGTGGATATGGACACAAGTTTTGCCCGCAAAAGGGTTACAGGGTCAGGGCTCCTCCATGTGGCGGAGCGCAGCACTGGCGTTGACATGAGTTCTACCAATGGGCCCGACTAGTGCTCGCTCCTCGCCGCCGATAGCGTCCGAGGTCGGACGCGCGACCCAACGGGGTCGCGCGTCAGTTCCGCAGCGAAGCCCGGTCCCCCGCCGGCTTTTTTTCTCCTTCCCCGTGCGCTGCGGCTTCACCTGTCGCTGCTAAACGTTTCTTGCTTCGGGCCAGATCCGCTGGCGCGCGCCTCCTGTTAGCTTCCTGCGCCCGCCCCATCTAGGTCCGCAGCGCTGTGCGCATTCCAACGAAAGCCTATGTTTGTTGCAGGCGAGCAGCTGCGTGGATTATTTGCTCGGCCTCCTCCTGACAAGGCGCCCAACGTCTTCAAGAAATCTCCACATGCAGAAATCCTGTACTCCTGCAGTTTTTTCTCCCTCCTCTCTCGTCGGCGTCGTCGTCTGCTGGCTCGTCCCCTCTCTCTCTTCCCTCTCTTCGATCCTTACCCCTTCTTGTGCCTGGTGTCTCCCCTCCTCACATTATCCTCCCTTTTCCCACTTCTGACAGATTGGAAAAACGCGCCGAAACCAGGCGAACACCAATCGAATACCTCCGGTAGCCGTCGTCGTCGTCGCCGCCGCCGGTCGCCGCCGCCGCCCTTGTCCCTGCCACGGAGACATTCATTGAACCGGGCATTTTTCAATTGCTAGGTGCAGCTCAGTAGCGCTATCGTCTTTGTCAGACTCAGGCTAGAACCCTAAAGCTGCTGACTCTGGGGAGACACTCCCCCATGCTTCCGCAAACGCATACAAATTCGCACGTGTAAAACATGTTTTTTCCCTACCTAGGCTCTGCCTAGAAGGGTTCCTACTCTCTTAGCTTGAAGGGGCCGGGCAGTGCACACCGCCCGGGCGGTTCCCCCAGTCCCCGCCCCGCGGTTCCCCCAGTCCCCTGGGAGCTTTAGCTTTAGCTTTAGCTTTAGCTTTAGCTTTAGCTTTAGCTTAGCTTTAGCTTAACTTTAGCCCAGCTTTAGCTTAGCTTTAGCTTAGCTTTAGCTTAGCTTTAGCTTAGCTTCAGCTAGCTTTAGCTTAGCTTGAGTTTAGCGTTGGCTTAGCTTTAGCTTAGCGTTAGCTTAGCGTTAGCTTAGCGTTAGCTTAGCTTTAGCTTAGCTTTAGCTTAGCTTTAGCTTAGCGGTAGCTTAGCTTTAGCTTAGCTTCAGCTTAATTTTAGCTTTAGCTTTAGCTTCAGCTTAGCTTTAGCTTAGCTTTAGCTTAGCTTTAGCTTATATTTAGCTTAGCTTTAGCTTAGCTTTAGCTTAGCTTTAGCTTAGCTTTAGCTTAGCTTCAGCTTAGCTTTAGCTCAGCTTTAGCTTAGCTTTAGCTTAGCTTTATCTTAGCTTTAGCTTAGCTTTAGCTTAGCTTTAGCTTAGCTTTAGCTTAGCTGTAGCTTAGCTTTATATTAGCTTTAGCTTAGCTTTAGCTTAGCTTTAGCTTAGCTGTAGCTTAGCTTTAGCTTAGATTTACTGTTACTACTCATGCTGCTTTCCTTGGGGCTCCAACTCCTAGGTCGGGTCGCACTGGGATATTTTTTTGTTTTGTTTTTTTGTCCGAATTGGCCCGAAGGCTGGTGGAGGAGCGGATTTGCGGGCTGCCAGGTGTCACAGCCTTTGGCCGCTCTGGGAAACAGACGGCGGCTGTGGAGGAGGAGAATGCGGAGGAGGAAAAGGAAGAAGAGGAGGAGGAGGAGGAGCAGGAGGAGGAGGAGGAGGAGGAGGAGGAGCAGGAGGAGGAGGAGGAGGAGGAGGAGGAGGACGGAGGACGGAGGACGGGGAAAAGGACGAAAGGAGAGGAAGAGGAGGAGGAATGGAAGAGAGGCGAGGGAAGGTGGGAGAAGTGTGCTTCGCCCGCCGTCGCCGCCGCCCCCTGCCCGCGCCGCGGGAGGCTGGAGACGGCCGCCCAGACGCCCCAGGGCGCCCGGGCTCCCGGCTCGGCGGGCGGCGCGGCGGGCACGCCCAGGCACACCTTCGCGCCGCCGCCGCCGCCGACGCCGTCGTGCTCGCCGCCGTCGTCGCTGCAGCCGCCGCCGCCGTGGCCGCCGCGGTTGCTCCAGCGCCATCTCTGCCGCTGTGGTCCCCTATGGCCGTCGCCGCAGCTGTCGTGGACACCTGTCGTTGTCGGCGTCGGCGTCGTCGTCGCCGGCACCGCCGTTCGGCGGCGGAGTGCGAGTGCCCCTGCCCTCGCCGACGAAAGATGAAGGCAGCTCGCAAGGCGGCGGGGGTGGGGGTCGGACCTCATCGAGCCGAGCATGTGGCGAAATCCGAACCCTCCTCCTCCTCCTCCTCCTCCTCCTCCTCCTCCTCCTCCTCCTCCTCCTCCCGCTCCTCCTCCCCCTCTTCCTCCTCCCCCTCGTCCTCCTCCCCCTCCCTCCTCCTCGTCCCCCGTGCCCCCGTTTCCCATCGGCTCAGGAGAGTCCACGGTTGGTGGGGGGTAGGGTTCGACTGTCGCCACCCAGTCGTCTGCTTCACCATCGCTGCTGTCGCCCTCGCCGTCGTCGTCGCCGCCACCACCATCGACTCCATCGCCATCGCCGCCAGCGTCGCCGCCGTCGTGGTCGTCGCCGTCGTCGCCGTTTTCGTCACCGCCGTCGTGGTCGCCGCCACCACCGCAGAGATCCGAGGCTCCAGGACCGTCAAAACCGCTCAGGATGCCAGTCCCAGGAAAGGTGTCCAGACCTCCGCGTGTCCACGCTTTGAAAAACTAGAGCGCGGGATGTCTGGGACCATCGTCTCCATCGTCATCGCAGTCGCCATCGCCGCCGCCGCCGTTGTCGCCGCCGCCGTCGCCCCCGTCGTCGTTGTCGTCGTCGCTGTCGCCGTCGAGATTCGGTTGGGTCTGCGTGTCCGCCGCCTCATCGGCCTTCCCAGAGGACCGTGTTGGGCCGGGCGGCCTGGCCGTCACCGCCGTCCCTGCCGCCATCGTCCTCCTTGGCGTCGCCGTCGCCGCGCTGTCGTCGTGAGGAGGAGCATGCTGAGCACGAGGGAGATAAGCACTGACACAGGTTACAAGGACAAGTATGTCTCCAAGGGTGCCCTTGCGTCCTGGCCTCTTCGGCCCGACCTTAGCCGTTTTCGCAGGCCAACCTCTCAGGGAACACCTGGGGCTGGTGGCGTCCAACGCCCTCGCGTCCTTACCGCGCGTCCTTATGATCTGGTCAGGAGGATGGTGGATCCGGAGGAGCAGTGAGGCGGAGGAGGAGGAGGAGGCGGAGGAGGAGGAGGCGGAGGAGGAGGAGGAGGCGGAGGTGGAGGAGGAGGGAGAGGAGGAGGAGGAGGAGGAGGAGGAGGAGGAGGAGGAGGAGGAGGAAGGAGGAAGGAGGGACGGATAATGAACATGGGAGCGGGGTGATGGTTCTCCAGTTCTTTGCTCGCCCATCTGTACTCGCAGCGTGGACGCGCTGCAGTCCTTGCTCTGTCCTCTACTCCCTGTTCAGTTTGCCCCGGGTCCTTCCGCCGCCGGGAGTATGGGTGTGTGTGCTACCCGAGTTCATGCCAATGTGCTTGATTCTTACAGTGGAGGCCCATGCCAAGAAACACCCTGCTTGCCTCCAGGTTGTCCTGGGTCTCTTTGGTTTCGGTGGTTTTGCCATGGAAAGCGCGACCTTCCCACACCAGAAATCAGTGGACGTCCTGGTGTCCCACGGTTGGGTTTCTTGTGGAAGGTTTCTTGCTGTCGAGCTCCTACTGTGCCCCCTCAACTCTCCCTCGTGCTGCTCCCCGTTCATAGTCACTCCAGTGATGGTAGACAATGTCTCTGATTGGCTCTGGTTTCGCAGTCATTCCTTCTGCCCCCCTCGTTCTTCCTTCACCTTCCCTCTTATCCCCCCCTCCCCCATCCTCCACTCCAACCTCCCAACTCCCACCCGCTTTCCTTCTCCTTCCTCCCGCCCCATCCCTTCCTTTCCCCCTGCCGCCTCCTCCCCCTGCCCTCCTGTCCACTTCCGCCACTTCCCATCGGTCACCCCCTCGTATACCTGACGTTTGTTCTTTTGAGCCGCCGGCCGCCGGAGTTGTCGACCCCTATCTCAGGAGAGGAAAGAACACGCAGACACAATTTATCCTCGATTCCCCAGAAAATATGGGAAAATATGGGAAGTGGGGGGGGGAAGACAGAAACCCGGAAAATATGGGAAGATATTGTGAATATTTTTATTTGTGTGTATTCATTTGTGTGTCTCAGGGCCCCTTCACGATCTCCCGGGGACCGGCTGTTCGTCAAGGGTGGGGCTGTGGCCTGGCCTTGGCGCGCGCTTTGGTTGCCTCGAGTGCCAAAGCACGGAGAAGAAGTGTGTCTTCCTCCCCATAGGTAAGCTTCTTTCCCCCCCAGAGGTACTTCCATGTGGGCCCCTTTGCTCTTCCTGAGGATCTGGATTGGTGGGCCTGTTTTCCACCACCACCACCACCATAAGTTGGAGGGGCGAAGGAGGTGGAGGAGTAGGAGGAGGAGGAGGAGGAGGAGGAGGAGGAGGAGGAGGAGGAGGAGGAGGAGGGGGACCCCCTCGACCCCCTCCCCCTCCTACTTCTGGTGGCGGTGGTGGAGAACAGGCCCATCCTCTGGACGGGTCAGACGAGGTCTCGCCCGGTGCCGGCTCGTGGGCGCCTCGCGTGCGCCCCGTGCGCTGGGCGGGGTCTGCCGGCGCGTGGCCCGGGTGCCTCGCGGGAGGCACCGCGCGCGCGCCTCGTGGGCGCCTCGTGCGAGGGCTGCGTCGGCCGAGGTGTTTCGCACGGTGCCTGGCCGTGTGGGCGCCCGTGGTCTGGGCCTCCCAGACGTCGGGGGCGGCAAAGAGGGTGGTGATGACTAGGGGGGGGTGGATATCATGGGGCGCGGGCCATGATATCTCCCCAGATTTCCTGGCGCCTCTTCTCATCTCATTACGTCCCAGGCCCCCCCGCTGGGCCGCGCACATGCCGCCGGTCATGATTTGCACCCTCCCCTCTTGGACACCCCCCTCTTGGCCGCTCCCGATCGTGGGCGCCTCGTGCGAGGGCTGCGTCGGCCGAGTTGTTTCGCACGGTGCCCGGCCGTGTGTGCGCCCGTGGTCTAGGCCTCCCAGACGGGGTCGGAGTAGACGGGGTCGCAATACCGCGCCGCATCGCCCATGTATCGGCGATGGAGCTCGGCGTGCAGCCCGATTTGCCTCGCGCCGACGTCGCCGATGCATCGCCGACAACGCCAGTGCATCGCTGGTGCATCGCCGATGCGTCGCCGATGCATCGTCGATGTGTCGGCGATGCGGCGCGATCCTCCGACCCCCTTTACTCGGACCCCACCAGGGAGGCCTCTACGGGGGCGCTCGAGGGCGCCTCGTGGGCCCCTCGCGAGTTCGGCTGGGCAGCCGAGGTCTGGCCTCGGGGGCGCTTCGTGGGCGCTTCGAGCGCCGGGCTGGCCGCCTAGACTGTACCACCTACCTTTATGTCGGGCATGTCCCTCTACAGGAGGCATATTCAAAAATAGCCAAAACGTAGTCCGGGGACGATATATATACATATATATACATATATATAAGGAAACCATATATTTTGATTATTGTTGGGAAATTGTTGGACATTGTTTCATCCAAAATTCGCCTGTAGGAGGATATGGCCGGCCTAAACACAGCCTCTACTAGATAGCTTCTTCCACGTAGCTTGTACCGCAGAGCTTGCACCTACACCACACGTTCTGCACCGCACAGCATTCATCACTGGCGCCACCTGGTTCACACCAGAAGGCCTGCGCCCCATGGAGTGCACAACATAGCTTGCACCAGCTTGCCCCACATAGCTTACAATTCCGCAGTGCAATGATTTTCTGTTTGGCGTCTACGCTGGCTAACATGTTTGTCGTACACGTTTTCGTGTCGGAAGTGGTTGGGGTGGGTACCCCGCCGCTCCTCTGATGTCTCTTTCTCGCGCTCCCCCGTCGCGTGCACAGATTCGGCGGCTACGTCACGCCGAACGCGATGGTCCCCGGCACACCGAACGCCAAATTTGTGGCGACATCTTCGGCGTTTTTTCCCGCCCTCCTTGGGGAAGATCAGGGACCCACCAATACCAAGATTGCAGGCCATCGAGGTCGGAGGTATGACCTTGGTGGGCTGTCTCTGGTGTTGGTATTGGCGGGCCGTTGGTGGATCCTCACCCTCCCACCCGTCAGTCGCGGCCAGCCCCCAACCTCGGCCTTCCCTGTCCCCTTCTTGTCCTCACATCCAATTTCTGCTCGCATTCTTCCCCGGGGCATCTCAGCCCCTCATTTACTTCCCTCTCCCTCTCCCTCTCTCTGCACGTATGACGGTAGAATATGTGTATATATACATGGATGTAAGGTAAGTGTGTACATATGGTTGTATATATATATATACATATATATGTATGTATGCCTGCCTGCATGCATGCATGCATGAATGCATGCATATGTGTATGTATGGATGTACGAGTGTATGGATGTATGAATGTATGGCCGTATGCATATGTGCATGTATGCATGTATGTATGTATGTATGCATGTATACATGCATGCATGCCTGCACATATATACACATATATAGATATGAATGTTGATAGGCTTGTATACACATCGAACGTATTGGTTGTTAGACATTCACATAGCTGGTCAGTGTGCGTGTGTTTTCTTCGTCACAACCATTATATGGCGCTGGGTCGTCGTTCTACAGAGCTCCCCGCCTCCCACCTCTCCTTCCCTCCCTCCTCCTCTCATCCTTGCCTCTGCCCTTCGCACGTAACCCATGTCAGCAGACCCCTCAAGCGCATCGTGGCCAAATAGGGAGCCCCGCCGAAGGCCCCAGAGGGAGCGTTCGACTGTGGGCGTCACGCCCGTTCTTGCACACCCATCACACGCTTTGTGGCCCCATGAGGTGCCCCACTGAAGGCCCCAGAGCAAGGTTTCGGCAACCCCCTCACGCGCTTTGTGGCCCCATAGGGAGCCCCACCGAAGGCCCCAGAGGGAGCGTTCGCATTTGGTTGTCGCACGCTTCGCGGCCTCATGGGGAGCCCCAACGAAGGCCCCGGAAAGGTAGCGTTCGCATGTGGACGTCACGGCCGTTTCAGCACACCCCTCACACGTTTCGTGACCCCGCAGGAAGCTCCGCCGAAGGCCCAAGAGGGATCGTTCGCATTTGGTTGTCACACGCTTCGTGGCCTCATAGGGAGCCCCGCCGAAGGCCCCGGAAAGTTAGCGTTGGGATGTGGGCGTCGCGCCCGTTTCGGCACACTCCTCACACGTTTCGTGACCCCATAGGGAGCTCTGCCGAAGGCCCCAGGGGAAGTGTTCGCATGGGGACGTCGCGCCCGTTTCGGCAACACCCTCCCGCGCTTCGTGGCCCCACAGGGAGCACCACCGAAGGCCCCAGAGGGAGCGTTTGCATTTGGTTGGCACACTTTTCTTCGCCTCATGAGAGGGGCCTCCGAAGGCCTCGGAAAGGGAGCGTTCGCATGTGGGCGTCGCGCCCGTTTCGGCACACCCTTCACGCGCTTCGTGGTCCCATAGGGAGCTCCGCCGAAGGCCCCAGGGGAAGCGTTCGCATGTGGGCGTCGCGCCCGTTTCGGCAACCCCCTCACGCGCTTCGTGGCCCCATAGGGAGCTCCACCGAAGGCCCAAGAGGGAGCGTTCGCATTTGGTTGTCACGCGCTTCGTGGCCTCATAAGGAGCCCCGCAGGAGGCCCCGGAAAGGGAGCGTTCGCATGTGCGCGTCGCGCCCGTTGCGGCACACCCCTCACGCGCTTCGTGGCCCCACATAGGGAGCTCCGCCGAGGGCCCCAACTGTCGGGATCCGCCTGTGGCCTCTGCCCCCCCCCGCCCGGTGCCGGCATCCCCTCGCGCGTGGCAGGGCCCGTGGGGGAATCCTCCGAAGACCATACGTGCAGCTGTGGTAATCACAGCTGCATGTTGTTGGGTCCATCGTCGTTTTGTTGTTGTTGTTGTTGTTGTTGTTGTTGTTGTTGTTGTTGTTGTTGTTGGTGTTGTCTCTCTCTCTCTCTGTCTGTCTCTCTCTCTATCTATACATAGTTGTTGCTCTCCCCAGTCTTTATGCACGTGCATGTGCGCACATATGCACACACATGTACATATATATCTTTATATACATGTATTTAGAATGTATGTGCATGCATGCATCTGCAGATGTATCGGTCTCGAGTTGGTTGCGTTGTTCCACTGTCTTGTTCCCCAGCCTTTCTGTGCTGAGTTGGGCCCCCGTTTTGAGCCAGCAGCGGCCCGCGTCATCCTTCTCCCTCTCCTTCCTTATCCCTCCTTCCTCTTCCCATCCCCGCCACTGCCCCCCGCATGTAAGACATGTCAGGTCACCCCTCGCACTGTGCGTGGCCCCATGGGGAGCTCCACCTGAAGCATCAATGGCAGCGCCCGCATGGCGCCCATTTCGGCACACTCCTCACGCGCTTCGTGGCCCCATGGGGCGCTCCACCGCAATGCCCCGATGGCAGCGTCCGCATGGCACCGCCGAGCCCGTTTCGGTGCACCCGTCGTGCGTTTTCGTGGCTTCACAAGGAGCTCCATCGAAGGCCCCATTGGCAGCGCCCGCATGCCACCGCAGCGCCCAGTTCGTCACACCCCTCGCACGCTCCGCGGCTCCATAGGGACCCCGCCTAAGGCCTCATTGACAGCGCCCCGCATGGCACCGCTGCACCAGCTCCAGCACACCCCGCTTACGCTTCTTGGCCTCACAGGGAGCCCCACTGGAGGCCCCAGTGGCAGCGCCCGCATGGCACCGCCGCGCTCACTTTGGCATACCCATCACACGTTTTGTGGCCTCTTTGGAGCTCCGTCTGGCTCGAGTGGCAGCGCCTGCGTGGCAGCGCTCCACTCGTTCTGGCACACCCTTCACACGTTTCGCGGCCCCACACGGAGCTCCACCAACGGCCTTCGTGGCAGCGTCCGCATGACACCGCCGCACCCATTTCGGCATACCCTTCACACGCTACGTAGCCCCATTCGGAGCTCCACCGAAGGCCCCAGTGGTAGCGTCCGCATCGCATCGCCGAGCCCGTTTCGGCATACCCTTTACACGCTTCGTGGTCCCACTGGGAGCTCCACCGAAGGCCCCAGTGCCAGCGCCTGCATGGCTCCGCCGCGGCAATTTCGGCATAACTCTCACACGCTTCGTGGCCCCACTGGGAGCTCCACCGAAGACGATACTCACAACAGCGGTACTCACAATTGCATATGTTTGGGTCGGTCACACTTTCACACTTTATATACGTATGCACACTTACGCTCTCCACCTCTCTCTATCCCTCTCTTTGTCGCTCTCTCCTTCTCTGTTCCAGTTGTCCTTCTCGGCCTATACGTATACACATATGTCTCTCTCTCTCTCTTTCTCTCTCTCTCTCTCTCTCTCTCTTTATCTATAAATCTATATATACACGTATGTATGGTACATCCTCTCGTTATCATCATTACCCTCCCTCTCTCTCTCTTTCCCCTATTCGCCCTCCATCCTTCTATCTCCCTCTCTTTCGCTCTCTCCTCGACCGCTCTCTCTCTCTCTCTCTTCCTCTCTTCCCGTCCCTACCTCTCTCTCTACCCCCATTATTTGTGTCTCTCGCTCTCTCTCTCTCGCTCTTGCTCTCCCTCTCGCTGCCTTTGTCTTTCTGCCGCTCTGTCTCGGCGTACGGCTTCTCTCTCTCTCTCTCTCGTTATCGTTCCCTCTCGGTTTTGTTTACACATGAGTGGTGCATCATCACGTATGCCATACATACAACGTATGCATACGTATGCGATATATACGAATGCATCATTACTTTTGCTTTATCGTTACGTATGCTAACTATCATTACGTATGCCATATGTATACACACACGTGTATGTAGACCGCCCTCGCTCGCTCTCTCTCTCTCTCTCTCTCTCTCTCTCCGTCTCCCCTTCCTTTTTGTATATCAAGAGGGTGCTTCTACGACGTTGTGTGTTCCCTCTCTCTGTGCATCCTCTCTCTCTATCTCTGCCCCCTCCGCTCTCCTCCCCACTTCTGCCATCCAGATGCAGGACAGGGAGGCGCCGGAGCAGGCGCAGCGGCAGCAGCAGGAACAGCATGAGGATGGGCAGAGAAACAGTGGGGACGAGACGAGGGAGGATGTGGAGAAGGGTGGTAGAGGAGCACGCAGGGCAGAGAGGGTGGTCGAGAAGCACGACTTCGACGACGACGGCCCCGACGACGACGACGACGACGACGACGACGACGACGACGACGACGACGACGACGACGACGACGACGACTACGACGACTGCGAAGACGACGGCAACGACGACGGTGGCGCCAGGTGAACCCGGGCACCGCGAGGTCGAGGGCCCCCTCGTCGCCAGCACCGAGCATGGTGCCCTGGGGACTCTATCTCCGCAGCTCCACCTTTGCTGGGGCAGGAACATGGAGGCAGCGCCAACATGGATCAAGGCGCGCAGATTCGAGGCGGGCTTCGTTTCCGTGCGCAATCCACGCGCGCCGTTGCCAAAGCAGGCGGCAGTGGCGCCATGTTTCGGTTCTTTTTGTCCCCCGATCTGTGTGAGCGTGCGCCCGAGACGAGGAGGAGGCGGAGGAGGAGGACGTGGAGGAGGAGGAGGAGGAGGAGGAGGAGGAGGAGGAGGAGAAGGAGGAGGAGGAGGACGTGGATTAGGAGGAGGAGGCGGAAGAGGAGTAGGAGGCGGGAGAGGGGAGGAGGAGGCGGAGGGGGAGGATGAGGAGGAGAAGGAGGGGGAGGAGGAGGCGGAGAAGGAAGGGGAGGAGGAGGAGGAGGAGGAGGAGGAGGAGGAGGAGGAGGAGGAGGAGGAGGAGGAGGAGGAGGCGGAAGAGAGGAGGAGGCGGAGGCGGAGGCGGAGGAGGAGGAGAAGCAGGAGGCGGAAGAGCAGGAAACGGAGGAAAGGTTTCGAGTGTGTGCGTGGTGATTTGCCTGCCCTTTTTGGGGGTTGCCTGGGAGCGTCATCGCCGCCACGGCTGGGTGCACCCCTCGGAGCGCTGGTCAGAAGGCCCCCGCCCCCGCGGGGGCAAGCCCCCTGGGGGCGAGTCTTTTGGAGGGGATGGCAGGGGCAACGTCCCAGCGAGAAGAGCAGGATGGATCCCAAATAGATATTAACCTGGGTTTATAATGTTCCGGGATTATTGACCAGGGTTCATAATGTCTCCCCCGGAACATTATGAACCTGTTCTTTAATGTTCCGGAAATAGGCACCAGGGAGGCCGCGGCGACCCCCAATCGTCCACCCATGGCCGATAAAAAGGGGGCCCGGTGGCTCGCCGAGCGCGCGAGGGGCGTGCCGAAGCGAGCGGCGGGGGAAGGCACGCGGCCACCGCCCCGCGGGCCTGCGGGGGAGCTGCCTTCGGGGCTGCGAAGCGTGGGAGGCGTGTGTGCGGCAGGGGAGGCGGGAGCGCACAGCTTGGGCCGGAATGCGAGGCGGGGGTGCATGCGGCCACCGCCACCTCGGCCGCAGGTGGAGCCTCCCTGTGGGCCACGAGACGAGGGAGTAGCGTGCCTGAATGTGGCTGATGGTGATGGTGGTGCTGGTATTCATGCTCACGCTCATGTGCATGTGCATGCTCATGCTGATGCTGCTGATGATGCTGATGCGTATGTGATGGTGGTGACGCTAATGATCATGATGATGAGGATGATGATGGCGATGAGTGTGTGGAGGAAGGGAGGGTGAAGAAACAGTTCCTCACTTTACACGATGTCCTGCCGAGATGGGCACCATGCCCTGATCGGCCTCGGCTCCATGAGTTTGGTGGTGCTCCTGCGCCCCCTGCCTCCCCTCCCATACGACCTCGTGCTTTGCTCACGGCGTGGAACCTTGGACAGGGGAACAAAAAGTGACATAAACATAAAAACTCGGGGGTCCGCGCGGATTTCTCGGATCGGCGCTGGGCCCCCCCGGCGGGGCGCCTCCGGTGCCGCCCCTGGCGCGCTCCGCTCGCCAGGGAGGGGGGTCCAGCGCCGATCCGAGAAATCCGCGCGGACCCCCGAGTTTTTATGTTTATGCCGCTTTTTGTTCCCCTCTTGGAGGTGTGGGCCCCATGCTCCAGGACACGGGGGCCGTTTTCCGTCGGTCCTGGGGTCCTCGTGAGAGCCCCCGGAGGCCGCACGGTGCCCCTGGAGTCCCAGAGGCCTGCGGCAGACCTCGCCACTGTGCCGCCACCACGGTCGGTACTCGCGCGGGTCATACAGTGGGGGCGCGCATCAAGACACCATACGCGTTTCGTCAGGGTATCCTGGGTTTCTTCGCTCCTCGCGCGGCGCGGTGACCTCCCGCATCCGCTGAAGGAGCTGCTGCGTTCAGGGTGCTCCGGGTTTCCCCTCGGGTGCACCTCGCGCACGGGTTCTCAGGGTTGGGCTTCCTGCGAGCGTTCCTTGCGGCCGCGCCCGCACTGTAAGCTCGACCAGTCGCGGTCCCCCTCTTAAGTTGGGGTCCCTCACACATGTATCACCCCGAGCCGTATTTGGACGGTCGGGAGGCCTGGCGGGGGCCTCTGGAGGACGGGGGCTGCAACTCAAACGTCCGTACTGTTCCCATCCCTCCTGTGGTGCTGGGCCCTCGTATTGAATCATTCCTCCTTCCTCATGCCGCCTCTCCCTCCTCCCATTCCTGTCTCTGTCCTCCGCATGTCCTCGTCGCCATCACCACAATCGTCAACATCATCACCATCATCGTCATCGTCATCGTCATCGTCATCCCATCATCGTCATCGTCATCGTCATCGTCATCGTCATCGTCATCGTCATCGTCATCGTCATCATTATCATCATTATCATCATTATCATCAGTATCATCATTATCATCATTATCATCATTATCATCCTCATCCTCCTCCTCGTCGTCGTCATCATCACCATCATCACCATCATCCCTTTTTTCCGCTCCGTCCTTCCGGAGCCCCGGGGGCCCGACAGCATTCCGTTATATATATATATATTAATATATTATTATATATATATATAGGCCCCCCCCCGGGCCGCGGGCCCGCCCGCAGGTGCCCGCCACGCCCGGCGGCGCCGTGCCCGGCACGCCCGGCGCCGGGCCCGGGGCGCAGCCCTGGGGCGCGCCGCCGGCGCAGGCCCCGCGGCAGTCCTGGGGCGGCCCGCCGGCGCAGCCGGCGCCGCGGCAGTCCTCCCGGGGCGGCCAAGGCGGCGCGGCCGCCGCGGGGGGTTCGAGGCCCGAAAACCATCACTTCACTAATTTTGGGCCCCCTGCAGGGCCCACTGAGGCCCCAGGGGCCCCAGATTAGTGAAGCGATGTTTTTTCCCACGTAAGGACCCCGAGATTCATCACTTCACTAAACCGAACCCAGGGCGAAAGTCGGGGGCCGAATTGCTGCTGTGATGCAACATTGGTCTCGTAGGGGTGGGCGGGGGTGGATCGACTTCCTACCCTGACACGTCGATTCAGGAATTGGCCGTTTTCGGTTCGCGAGAGGGCGTCGCGGCCGTCATTGACGCGGGTCCAGGTCCGTCGGTTTCGGTCCCAGGCCGTTTTCACTAAGGGGAGGTCTACCAAAGGGAGGTGTGTCCACCGCCGAGGTGGGCGGGCCGCGAGGCTTCAGGTCGGGCACGGCCCTCTATGTACAGGAGGAAGGTTCAAAGATGGTCCAGAGGTGGTCCGTAGACTATGTTTTGAGCATTTCTTTTTTCGATGCGTTTGAGAGCACTTTTGGAGTATTTTCAATATTTCGCCCAAGGTCCGCCTGTGACATGCCCGACCGAACGCCAGTCTCGGCGGGACTTCTCAGAACAGCCCCCGCGCCTTCGGAGGAGCTTTTGTTTCTGTCTTCGGGGAAGACTTTAGGAAACTTCTCCGAAGGCCAGGGGGCTTCCGAGCCTCCCGAGAAGGCCCGATCCTTCTCACTTCCCCCTCGCGCTCGACGCCATCAGTCTCCAGTCCTCCCACATTCTAGAGCCTGCTTTTGGTCCAGGTCTGGGCGATGCCGGCCGTGATCGACCCCTTTCCATCCCCTCCCGCCCCCTAGATCACGTAGATGTCCTACATTGTTTGTTGTGCCCCCCCCTAGATCACGTAGATTTCCGACGTTTTTTTTGTGCCCCCTCCAGGTATGAGGATTTCCTGTGATTTCTGGAGGACCCCCGCCGTGATGAGATCGGAAGGGGCGAGCCCCCCCTTGACCCGATGACGCCTGTGTCATCGCAAACAGTTGCTTGAAGGCCCTGGGCCTCCCAGATGGCGTCGGAGTGGAGGAAAAGGGAACCACGCTGCTGCCCTTCCCCCGTGACCGCCCTCTTGGGGTCTCCTGGGAGGCTCTCGTCGCCACCGCTGGCGTCGCTTCGAACTTCTACACTCTAGGCGATGCTCAAGAAAACCCAAGTTTTCGGCCAGAACCTCGATTATTCTGAAGGTTCCAATGTGAATCCTATGATCTCAACTGAGACTATGAATTTCTTGACCCATGATTTCTGGAGCATTTCGCAGGGTGTAGTCAGAGCGCAGCCCTGGGAGAGCTCCATAGAGGCTCAAAGCGCTCGGCTCTGGGCCTCCCTCCCGTGTGGGGTCGGAGCAGGTGGGATATCGGAGGACCGCACCGCACCGCCGCTGCCTCGGCGACACGGCTCGACGTGGAGCGCGATTTCCTCCGCGCCGACGGCACCGCTGCACCGTCGATGCATCGCAGATGTATTGGCGATGCGGCGCGATCTTCCGACCTCGTCTGCTCGGACCACATCTAGGGGGCCTCTATCCCAGATGGGGTCCGTGCCCCTCAGAACATCTCTTGAGACCGCAAAAGCATCCTGAGCCCCCTCACCTCCACCTCCACGTTGTCGTCCTCCTCGTGCTCCTCCTCCTCCTCCCTCCTCCGTCCTCGTTGTTCTGGAGACCCCCGACGGGAACAGTCTGGACCTCCCTCCCCGAGAACTTCCTCCACATCTTCGCCCTCCTCTCCCTGGCTGCTCCGGGCGAGGGGCGAGGCGCCGAGGAGGGGACACAGCAGGGTGGCGGTTGGGAGAAGGGCTCGGGGGACAAGGTGGAGGAGTATTGAGTGGACGAGGGACGTAAAGAGTGAAAGTACGGTGATGGGGCGAGGATGCTGATGAGGATGCAGGAGGAGGAGGAGGAGGAGGAGGAGGAGGAGGAGGAGGAAAACGTAGGGAGCAGGATAAAAGAAGGAGGAGGACGAGGAGGAAGGCGGAGGGAAGGAAATCTTCGTCGTTGTGACCGACAGGTCGAGCACAGCAGAACGGACGACCTCGGCCCTGGCGCGGCCTATTCTTGTTCCCATTCTTCCTTCCTCTCTTGCTCTTGCCCTCTTTCCCGTTCCCCCTTCTGTCCTCCCTGGTCACCTCTTCCTCCTTCCTCGTCCTCGTCCTCCACCTCCCCCCCTGTTCTCCCCCTGTCTCCTCCCGCCCTCCCATTACCCATCTCCTCTCCCCTCTGCCTCTGAGGATCTCCTCCCCCAGACCTCAGTCGTGCTGTAGGAGTGGGGAATTCCCACACGGCGCAAGCGAGAATCTTGGCGTCACCAGGTGGGGGGGTGGAGGGGGGGTGGGGTGGGACGGGTCCCCGGCGTTATCGCGAGTCAAAAACTAGCGGACTCTTGGGAGGTCTTCGTCGCCACAGCTGTATTCGTCTCGAGGTTCTGGTCCGCCGAGTGGCGAAAACAGTATTTGGTTTCCCCACAGCCCAGCCTTACATCGGCTGCGAGCGAGGGGGGGAGGTGAGAGGGAGAAGGACTTCTCGGAAGGCGGCGGTGCCTCTCAGCAGTCCTCTGGCTTTCTGAGAAGTGTCAGCTGTGTCCTTAGAAGCTTTAGGACAACTTCTCAGAAGGCCGGGGGGCTTCCGAGCCTTCTTAGAAGGCCCGCCCCTTCTCGCTTCCTCCCCGGGCTCGCCGCCGGCCGTGGGAAGTCACGATCCTGCCCCTAGACGTAGAAAGTCCAGCCTTCGCTAGGGGCTGGTTTCCTCCCGAAACGTACCAAACGATTCCGAGACTCTCCCAGAACCCTCCAGTCGTGCCGCCGATGAGATGTTGATGATGATATGTTCCGCTGCACCACTGAAAGTTCGATGCCAGCAATCGTGACAAAAAAGAGCTGCTGGATGCCCGGGACTCGTCTACCCCAGGCTTGTGAGCTTGTCGGGGGCGGCAAAGAGGGGGGTGATGCTTTAGGGGGGGTGGATATCATGGCAGGAGCCATGACATCTCCCCAGATCTCATGGCGCCTCTTCTTATTTCATTACGTCCAGGCCCCCCCCCCCTGGGGCCGCGCACATGCCGCCGGTCATGATTTGCACCCCCCCCCCTCTTGGACACCCCCTCTTGGCCGCTCCTGATCCTTGGGCCAGCAACGGGCAAGGTACCAAACGGCTCCGAGACCTTCCCGGTACCCTCCGGTCGCGCCGCGTATCACTCGGGGCCCCCCCAAACGGGATGGTGACAACACCGCGTGGTGAGTCGGTGGGGATTCGGGGTCACCGCACGGTGGTTTTGGTGCTCGGGTCGTTCTCCGAGGACGTCTCGGGCGACTGGGGCATCCGAGGTCCCAAGACCGTGCGCTGACGGACCGTGGGGTGAGGTCTTGGGGGATTTCGAGGTCGCCGCACGGTCTGTCACCGCACCGCTTCGGGACTCCACAAACACAGGCCTCTCCGCGGCAGCGTTCCAGGAGGGGGAAACCAGACAGACACAATGAATCGTCGATCCCCAGGAACAGCTGGGAAAACATGGGAAGTGTGTGTGTGTGTGTGGGGGGAGACGAAAACCTTGGAAATATGGGAAAATCTTGGGAATCCTGGGATTTGCGTGTATTCATTTGTGTGCCCCTGGGCCCCTCCGCGGCAGCGTTGCCCCCCTCCGCACCTCGGCGGGCCTGGCGGCGGCGGGCGGCCTCTCCGCGGGGCAGGGCCCGTGCTGGGCAGGCGCGGCACGAGCGACGCCTCCCGGGTCGCGAGGGCGAGGAGGAGGAACAGCAGGAGCAGGAGGAGGAGGAGGAGGAGGAGGAGGAGGAGGAGCAGGAGCAGGAGCAGGAGGAGGAGGAGGAGGAGGAGGAGGAGGAAGAGGGAGGAGGACGATGATGATGATGATGATGATGAGGAGGAGGAGGAGGAGGAGGAGGAGGAGGAGGAGGAGGAGGAGGAGGGGGAGTGCAAGGGCGAGTGCCCGGAGTGTATCGCTGGGCGAGGCCAGTCGTCTGGGTCTCCTATCGGCGGCGAGCGAGGGGGGGAAGAGAGACCTTCTCAGAGGGCGGCGGGACTTCTCAGCAGCCCTCGCGCCTTTTGAGAAGTTTTTGTTCCTGTCTTCGGGCAAGGCGCTGAAGACTTTTCAAAAGGCCGGGGACTGCTGGACCTTCTGAGGAGGCCTTTTTCTTCTCACTTCCGCTCCTCGCTCGCCGCCGATCCTAGATCCTAGATGGGGTCGGAGGATCGTGCCGCATCGCCGATGCATCGCTGATGCGGCTCGATGTGGAGCCCGATTTGCTTCACGTCGGCGTCGCCGATGCATCGCTGACATCGACGATGCGTCGCCGGTGCATCCCCGATGCGGCGCGTTTCTCTGGTATCATCTAATGACACCGACCCCATCTAGGACTAGGAGGCCTCTAAGTCGCGAGGGCAAGAGTCGACTACACGTGAGAGTGACCCTTCGCCGGAGTGACTTTTGGTGCGGGCCCGTTGGGGTCCTCCGACCGCCGAACGCGCCGCGACAGGAAAGTCCTGCGCGCTCGGGTTGGGCCCCCCCCCCCGCGGCTCCTCGAGAGCCGCGCAGCAGAGGCAGCCCTCTTTGCCCAGGGTCGCTCCTGCGTGCAGCCGGAGGAGAGGCGCAGCAGAGCGCGTCGCCGGGCCTCCGGGCGGCGGCCTCCGGCGCCGCGCGCGCCCTGGGGGGGGGGAGTCCGGCGAGGGGGCCCAGCGCGGAGCTCCCGAAGCTGTGTGTGAGCGGCTCGGAGAAGCGGGGGTCGTCTGCGCCGTCCTTTTCCTCCTCCATCTGCTCCTTCTCCTCTTCCCTCTTTCTTCTCCTCCTCCTTCCTCCTGCTCGTCCTCCTCCTGCTCCTCCTGCTCCTCCTTATCATCATCCTTCCCCTTCTTCCCTGCCCGCGTAAGCTCGCGCGTGGGCGCCCTCGTCTCCAGCGTTGCTTGTTGCGCTGACGGCCCGCGCAAGCCGCCGCGCAAGGTCGCTACGTC